CCAAGGCCTCATTCGTCACATTAACAAGATGATCCGCATCTCCAAGAACCCTAGGGAGCAGACTGATCTCTTAGGAGGAACTCAAAAAATATATGAAAACTTGAATTCTGTAGTTGTCTCAGTGGCAGAGTTCAACCTTTTGGTCATGGTAATGGTGATCCTCATGAAAAACTCAACTAAAGAACTAATATAATGCTGTTGCAGATGATTTCTAATCCACTGTCAGTTTCCTAACCTGACATAATGACAATGGACCCAAGAGAACTCATCAAGCTTCCACTCTGCTCACTCACCCTCTATATCTTTTCTTTCCCCTTCTCTGTCTACTTTCAGACCAGATCAAATTTCCAATGCTGATCTAGATTGGATGTGCATTTTCGCTAAGCTGATCCATTTACTCAAATTTGATCCCATCTGGATTGGATATGGAACAAAAAAAATCTGGTACAAATTAAATTAGTTTACAGCCTTTAGATTTAGACAAGGAGACAGTATTATGAAAAGCAACATAACTTTGCGACATAGAGAGCTTATGAAAGGCTACTCATGAAGAATGAACAGCATGAGTTAAAATAATATGATGATTTTTTGCATTTTGGTCTTAGTTTCAAACTCTACATGCAGTTTCATCAAGAATGTGATTTCAATTGGGTGTTGATGCTGAATAAGAATGGTTGTCCCATATAGTGTGATCGCCATAGTTGTTATTGGTGTAACCAAACCTGTTAGATTGAATGGACAATTTTTCCTTAATTTTCTAGTTTCAGATGATTGTGAATAATAACATATCACTCAATATCACATTTATGACAAGTAACATCATCGGAAATCAACCAAATGTTTCATGTCCAGACCAAAAGATAAATTCGCTTCCATAAAACCTAAACATAGTAGGGAACAGATCCGCATAGATCGAACTAAAATTCGTAAATAGATCAAGAGATCAAAGAAACGAGACAAAGTTTTAAAAACTTTCCACAAAAAAACAAAGACAAGAATGAATGAAAGGATGAAGGCTGACCAGGAAATTGTGGTAGACAAATGCTCGGGGTTCCCACGAGATGACCTCCGTCCACTGCTGCCCTCGTTGCCCCAAACCATCCCTGCACCAGCCAAAACTCATCCGCCGATCCACAAAACGACAATAACGACAAGGCGAGAGAAATGAGACTCACGCGTCGCGGAGGGACCTAGCGTGGTGGCGGAGGTCGGCTTCGGACTCGGGGCCGGAGTCGGAGCTGACGGGGAGGGAGAAAATGCCGAGGGCGAGCAGGAGGAGGACGACGAGGGAGAGCATCAGGAGCATCAGGAGGGCGAGCGCGTAGGGCGAGGACGATTTCCGGCTTAGGAACACGCGGGGGCACGGCCGGCCCCCCGCCCTCGCCATCAGCCGCCGAGAAGACGACGCCATTCGCGTCAAGATCCGTTCCGCTCGCTGTCGCTATCGCTTTCCTCTAGAGGGAGGCCAAACAATGGCGAAATCGAGATGGGAGGAGAGCAAAAGGTGGTGGATTCAGCGGTGATCGAAACGAGGGTTGGTTTAGTCGCGGTTTTTGGGTGCGTCGAGGTCGTCGAACATCCAGCGGCGAATCAGCGATGGCTTTTAAGTAGTTTAGTCGGGGACGATTGGGTTCCGGATCGCAAGGGGGAAGGAGGTAGGCTCACCAGTCCCGACTGAGACACCGAACAGAAGATCAGTGGCTAGGACTGAATTCATCTCAGTGGGTCCCATCTGTATAAACTAGTAAAAATGGGTCTTTCCCTGTTTCGGGACTCGGATGAAACGCAAGTGCGGCAGGGCACGTTGGGGGATTTCGGTGAGTTTGGGTGGTCGTGTCATGTTTGGACGGTCAACTGTCGATCAAGCACGACTGAGTTACCCGTGAAAGTACTCGGGCGACGTGCGGCTCTCTCACACGCTTCCGCCGCTGGGACCCTCGCGCATTGGCCCACATGAAGGTGACATCAGCACTTAAATTTCAGAGATGACAAAATGGTATCATTGAAAAGCTTTGGTTTTAAAAAAAATAAATAAATCAAAAACATATAAATTATTTATATAAATAATATGCATATGCATAGCAAATATATAAATTATTTATCACGATTGGTGTGACTTACGAAAATTTATTTATTTATTTATTAAACTCGTAGATTTTTGTCTCTTCGAGGTAAACCTAAAAAAAAATATATATTTGAATATAAGAGTGATACATCTTTAAAGATAAAAATGATGCTAGAGGTTTATAGGTTTTTTATTCTCTACTCTTGAATTAATAATTAATATAAAACTAAATATTTTTATTAGTACCTCCATAGTATTAGAACGAGAGTCATGAGTACTGACATGGTGTGCTTGAGAGTCATCATTAACTCAATACATATTGAGAAACAAAATAACTTGGATAGAAGTTTATGAAGTATTTAAGTCGCATGAAAAGAGTTTATATAGAAGATGAAATATAATACGAAAACATGATGTTTTTTTAACATATGTCAAGAACATAAACTCTTATAGAGATAAAAGCAATATCAAGTCTCTCATTCTTGCATGGAGCCATAGTTAATAGAAGCTTTAAGACACATACACCTTATCTCGATAAAGCAATTAACGATAGGACTAAGGTGACTCAACTTATGGAGGTAAAGTTGAGATCAAAATATCTTGACACGGGACAAGAGAACATGAAAGCAGGTGCTCTTGAATAGTGCTATCATTCGAGTTGTTGTAGAGAAAGATGTGCATAACAAATATTATGTAGGGATCTAAGATCCAAACCATAGCATACTAATTTCAATGAAGTCAATAAACTTCGAGAGCTATTGGATGATAGACTATAATAGAGTTATGCGTCGTCTATGTATAACTCGAAAGCGAGTGAACAAAGATTGATTGTTAGAAGAACCAATATAATTGGAGATGCCGAAAGCCCTACGATGTGTTAACAGAGGCCACATATAGAGAGATTATAATTTGAGTTCATCCTATAAATATCATAATGCAATGAATATGTCACTAAGAGGTAACATGGTATAGTGAATAATGGTATAACAGTTTAAGACAATATGAGACACACGAGAGAAGTTTCGCGAGGGACTTGATCCTACAAACGTATTATGGGGGAGCTATAGTAAACTCTACTTCAGTGAATAGCATGACAACATGAAGGGATATTGATTTAATGATTGAATGTCATGATACCATAAAGGCGAGTCTTTGCATCGAATTTTATATTAGATAAAAGCCTTAGTCATCAGCATATAAGAGTTATGTACCATTGAGAAAATTTTACATGTAAATATCAATGAGTCTCATGAAGAAAACTTGATTATACAGATGTATGATCGAAGCGATTAGAGGGTTGGATAGCTCTAGAGCTCATATTCGCTTGTGAAAGCTCGACAAGTCAAAAGATAAAGTCGAGTTAGCAAACATTACTACCAAGGACACCAAGGATAATAGAATTGACATGAGTCATACAACATGACGATGGAGGCCATGCATGACAGTTATAGTCTATCTTTCCATTGACTAAGGAGAATTATTCGGAGAACACAATGTTAAAGTAGGAGGTTGTAAGAGGTGGGAAAACAACGACAAGTCTAAAGATACTTAGCTAAATAAAACCAAGCATAAGTCAAGATGGAGATGGATTCAGATGAGTGTCGTAACACCACAAAGGCAGATCTATTATTTAAAAATAAATTGACACAAATGCAAGGTGACGGATGGTACGGTTATGGGTATGACAACATCATGGTAAGACATAAAAAAGAGAGACTTCCATAGAGTTATTGTTTCCTTGCTCTCACGGAGGAAGAGCATATAGTAATGAAAGATTTCCGAGGAGGTGGAGAACGCAAAGGCAAACTTTAAAATATTAAGATAATATTGAAAGATAAAGGTCAATGACCTTTGTAAGACCAGTGTTAATAAGTTTCTTATTTAAGATAATAAAAATTGGGGGACTTTGAGTTTATACAGGAGTACTCGATCAATGAATAAAGTAGACAATATGTAGTATTGTACCTTTTATACTCAGGAGTAAACAATGAAAATAATGAAAAATATGGTATAATCCTAGAAGTGATCAAAACTATCAAATATGGAAGAATTTTACTCTTTTTTAGGTTAAACTTCATACATTCTAAAAATTAGATGATAATTAGAAGGTAGATTGTAGTAACTAACTCAATATAAAAAATATAAATATTTTGGATGCTTTAGAAGTGTGAGTGAAGATCAAATGAAGGCTAACAACCAACTTGATACATAAAGCATAATTCTCAAGGAGATGAGTGAAGTAACATTTGTTTTCTTGACTAGTATCTGAGTTCTCTTATTTATTCAACTCTAGGACGCTTCAAAGAAATTTAGTAGAAAATAATAATAATTAAATATTTACTAATGATAATCAATTATTATTTATTTTATTTTTTAATAGAATAAAATGAAAATGATGTAAATGGAGACGACAATTAAGTGGGAGAGAAATGGACGAAAATTTTGTATGGAGGAATGGCCTAAAAAACTTCAACGTAGATTAGTCTCTATTGATTAATAATATTTTGATTATTAATTTAACTCTATATATATATATATATATATATATATATATATATTCCCTCCACCAGTCGGGTCGCATCCAAAACGGATCGGGTTCGGAGCTTGATTCGGATCGTCTCTTGATCCGAATTCATGATGGAAGGAGAGTCGTCTCTCCGATTACACACCCAAGCCCCCGGTTTACTGAGCGGTAGAGTAACACGAAGCCGACGAAGGAAGAGGGCATACACAACCCTAATCCATTCCATTTTCCTTTCTTTGTTTCTCCTCGATTTCTGATCTTTTGGGAGCGCGAAGATGCCGCAGGTTCGGATCATCGCGAAAAACTTCATGGACCTGGTGGCGGCTTTGCCTGCCATGAAACTGGACAAACTGTATGAGAGCACTTTCATCTGCGAAGCTGTCCTCAGGTGAATCTTCTTCCATTCCCTTTCTTGTCTATTATTTCGTATATATTCCTTGATTCGATCAAAAGGCGCTATTGTCGATTCCTTGCCTTTTCTGCTCAATCTATGGTAGTTCACCATAGATTGAGCAGGTGTAGTTGGTTCGGAGAGAGACCAGTTAGCGCTCTTCAATTTTTCTTCATAGGAACAATATCCTTGATGTTTGGTGGTTAATTTGCCTATGAATGACTTGCTTGGTTTTTTGAGTGTTGGCGTTAGAATCAACAAGTCTAATAATTATTTATCTGCAACCACCAACATCAGGAATTCAACCTTATGTGGTTCATGTACTTTGACCTGCGCAGTGAAATTTTTGTGGATCAATAGTTCACACTGACTGACTTGTATTTTACCTTGACATGTTATAGGTGCAGTCATATTTTTCATTATATGGTGCTTTAATGTTATGAATTCTAGGTCTTTATGTTATATTGTTTACTTTGTTTTAATCTATTTTCACCTACTTTATCATTTCTATTATCTGATGCATTTGCTGCTCTTCTTAAAGCAGCCAATATATTTGGTTGCTTTAACTCTCATTTGTGGAGCTATGTGGCATTTAATGACTGAAATTACAGCATGCTTAGTCTAATTTGTATTTTTCAATCTTTAGATCTCTGCCACCGATGGCTAAGAGGTATGTCTTGCAAATGCTGTATATTGATACCCTAATAACAGCCAAGTCGATGGAAGAATGGTTGCTTCCAGATGGGCTTTCCAAACACAAAGTGGCTATTGATAGGTTGCTTCAGCTGAGGGTTTTCCTTGAAGTTACTGATAGGTATAGTGCTTTATATTCTTGAAACTGCTTTTGTGGATACTCATAACCATATCTGGCTGTGCTCTACTTCCTCCATGATACCACTTCTGAAGGCCATGATGTACCAGCATCATTTTTTACATTTAAAAATCATGTATGGAGATGTGCTATTATGTCTTCTCCTATTCATCTTACTGTACAAGAGCTTATACTATTTATGCAATCTCAATTTTCTGTATTCCTGATTAAGTTTCAATGCCTTTATTTTAATTGCTATAATTTGTTCGAACTCAGTCTTTCAGGTTCATATTCGTTATAAGTTGTTCTTCTCTTTTGTGAAGAATCTTTTTGCATCCTTTTGACCTGATAAACGTGATGGATACACTATCATATGCAGTAATAGATAATCTATAGTTTTTATACCTGATTATTTCCTAACTTTTTTACTTGTAGATCTGGTTATTGGTTTCTTTTCTTAATGTAAATTCTTTAGCAAGTTCCTCCCTGAAGAATTGGCTCACAAAAATACATCGTATTTGCCATTCTCTTCCTGTCTCTTAACTTGATCATTGTATCCTCTGCTTCTACACTCCACTGTACTGTTTAAGTTGGGGAAGGCAAAATTTCTTTGGTGCGCTTCTCATATTCTATATGCACAAGAGAGAAATTGCTATAACCTTTCCAGCTTGTGCTCCTATATTTTTGTGTTATTGCTTGGATTTTCACTTTGTGGTATGATGTGCTATAGCTTTGTTACAAAATTTAAATTATTGGATGACTGTAAAACTGCCACAAAATCTACATCTGTGTACTATTTGTATTATAACTGGTTGCAGAAAGAAGGAGACAAGTTACAAGATAAACCCGAAGTTCCAAAGCAATATCCAAAAGTACTTGGTGAGCGGGTATGCATTGATATGTGTTTTTTGGTTCCATATCAATTGTCAACTAAAATGAAAGTACAGTAATCTGACTTATGGGCCTGAGTATATTGCAATCTAATTGAGTACATAGAAGTGTCTTTGTGTCGTGCAATTGAAGTCAAGCTGATGTGTTGTATGCTTTTAAATTAATATAACCTTTCTCTGCCCAATTCCATATGTTACTATCAAAAGGGTATAATGTCAACAAGGACCATTGGATTGTGAAGTTGAAGAGCATTGTGCTTCTGGGGTCTTCCACTTCTATCATTAGGATTTGAAGATGATATTTGCACAAGCTACTTCTCCTTCACACACTTGCCCAAGCACTTTAGCTTCAATCCTAGCTGTGATGGCCTAGATGATCCTAGCTATGCAGTAGTCAATGTTGTTTAAGTAGGTGTTGATGATGATGACCAAAGTCACCAAACTAATGTTATTGGCCTCATATACAACGCTGATCTAGTTATTGTGGTGGCCAGCTTAGTTATAGTAGTGGTTGTCCTTGCAGAGGATTGTGACATGATGTTTTGATTGGAGTTAAATGTTCTCCCTTTTGGAAGTATAAGGGTTAAAATAACTGCACATATCAAAAGATCACTCACACCATTTGTTATAAAACTGTGTTTAGCATAGTCATGTAGGAAGGCACTATGATCAATTATTAAATTCTTTTGTGCTCTACAATATGGCAAATGTGTGTCCAGATTCCAACAATTGTTCATTATGACTTTTAATCATGTTCATTTTCACATGACTGCGGTATGTATATTGGCAAAACAAATCTTTCTTTTATTTCATATATCTAAGTCAAGGAACAAAATAGGTTTATTATTTTTGCTTCGTAATTGCAGTGGGACTTTACCCAGAGAGCCGATGCCTTTGAGCATCACAGTCAGACTGCCAACTTTGGAGGATCTAGAGACCTATGCCTCTGAGCAATGGGAGGTTGCTCCTTAATATCCTATTGATTTACCATCTCAATAGTTATTTTATGCTTATAACTATACAAGGTTGCTTCAGTGGTTTCTTCTTTTTTGGTGGCAAACAGTGCTTCTTGTTGCAGCTTATAAATTCAGCTCAGGCAGAAAAGTTGACGAGCTTCAGTTCTTCTATGATTAAGGTTTTCCAGCGAGGCCTTTTGAGTGCCAGGTTTTCTACATCTGCAATTATTCTGTTGGGATGTTAACACTTGCCATATCCTAATTGTAAAAAATTAATCTGTTCTTGCTGTAATGATATATACAAAATTTGAAGTTCTGATCTGCCAGATATGCAGGGAAAATGAACCTCCAAAGTTAACTGAGAATGGCTTCCAGTTCCTTGTGGGCATTTTTCTAAATCTTATTACTCTTTTAGCATTTCAAATTTCAAATTCTTATAGCTGATCATTTCCTGTAAACAGCTGATGGATACAAATGCCCAACTTTGGTATATAATAAGAGAATACATCTCAACTGCTGAGGTATTTGTTAACATACTATACTTTTATCTCCATTTCTGCTCTAGTTGGCTTTTATTCTTAAAAATTTCTGTTACAAGACTGATTTTTTTATTCCTTTTGAAATAATGTAGGATCGTGGAGTTGATCCCACGGATCTAATATCATTCCTTCTTGAGCTGAGCTTTCATACCCTTGGCGAGGTATAACAATCAATATATTTTCTGAAACACTCTATATAGACCTAGTAAAATTAATTATGTCTATCTATGGCACAAAAACATTCTTATATTAATCATGGATACATCTTGTACTGTGAAGAATCATTTTGGTGTATGGAAGAGCTTCATTTTCCATCTATAAAAACAAGCATATAATCTGTATATAGTAGTGATTCTAGTGAATAGTGATAATATCATAATAAAAGATGATATTAAAAGATGTTTCTTTTTCATTTATAATGAAATAACAAGTGATCTAATATCAATTAAAATGCATTTACAATTTATTTTGTATGCTTACTTTATGAAGAAAATCTGCAGTTCTAGCAAAGTAATCACTGGTCAACCTGAATAATACATCACCACATAGCACATCCATGATTCCACAGAACAACAATGCTACCTTCCACATATTGCAAACCACGTTACATTTTTCGTGCTCCCTCTCCATGATCTGGAACGTCTCTTGTTCCAGGCATCTATGTTTCAGCTGACTCTGACTGCTTCTTAGGAGGTTACAACTGAATACTATTGCCCCAAGAATTTTAATAATCACGTCTGATGAACTGCAATCTGGTTTTGACCATTTGTGGTGGCTTCAAGCCAATTCTTTGAGTTCTGACTGGTCCTGACTGATTTTCAGCTAGTTACCAGTTTGATCCATAATGTCTTCAAATTGATGCCATTCATATTTGGCATTTTCAGATCCTTCAGGCCACATTAAAGAAAAAACTGACTTCAGTACCTAATCTTGCTGATCAGTCTTAATTTAACCTCATTTCTTTTAGTGATCCCAGAGTCAATTTCTAGTTTCTGTGCTTGAATCAGGTTCGAGGGACATGATCCCTTTTATTTTTGACCGCTCCAAACCACTTTAACAGAAAAAGGAAAATCTCTCTATCAAGGTGACTGGCTTTCCTAGTTGGCAACCCAAAAGACAAGAAGCAAATGAGTAAGGAGAAATATGGCTATCCATGAAAGAGAACACCTTTTGATCAGTCTATACACACAAATTTTCTCAATTTGATCCCACTGTGTAATTAATGCAAGAGATCCCAATTTAAATTTTTGGTCCCATGAAAAGCACTCTTCCTTCTGTACATGTGCATTATTGATGTTCTAGTGTGTGTCCTAAAGATCGTCCCATGTAGAACATTTCTAACAGGATTTCATGAAAAAGGTAATAAAGGATCATTATGTTTCCATCAAATTAATTTAAAACCTTTAAGCTCAAGGTTTTATGTCAACCTGTTTGATTGATATAGTATCACCGAATAGTGTATTGACCTATACTCTGTAGTGTCTGAAAAAAATATAAAAAATGAAAAAATGAAAAAAAGGTCCAATCAGTATGGTCCATTCTTGGTGCTTGATTGGGTTGGCAAAAACCAAGTGGACCATGTTATTTGAAAGTTACATAGAAACGGAATGGCCAACTTGGTTGGACTTGTGAAAAACCAGCTGGCTGATACAATTGGACTGGTATTTTAAGTATTGTTTTTGGTTTCCATTTACAATATCAGATAATTCATTCGAGGGCAAAGCAAACTTTCTGCTAGTAAGGCTCATATAAATTGATCCTCCAGACCCTGCACTGTCAAAAACATCGTACCCTAGGCTATCCCCACCTAGCAGGCAAATGATCCCTTATCTATCTGTTTCATAGGTTTTCTCACTTTTTATGCTGTTCTTTCCAATTTTTGTTATCTGATCTTTTATTCATCTTGTATGCGACTATTTCAAGTGCTTCGTAGAAAAGTGGGCATGTGCCTGTAATATGTTTTGTTTGGCTTTGTTATCTGGGATTAAATCTAATTGAGGAACCCACAATTCATGTAATATGCTGGAAAGAGATTGTTATTTCTTTGTTAATTGAATTTGAAACATATCTTTTGACAATATCAGATGCACAACTAAGGTTTGCAGGATCATAATTTATTTCGGGCTTGGTTATAAGATTAAGAATTATAAATTGTCTGGACCGGTGGAAGTGGATTATTTTTCTTTGTTTTTTAAATGACTTATATTCTGCTGGGATATGTTGAATTTGAGTGCCAAAAAAAGATTGTATTAGCTGGAACGAATCAGAATCTACCTGACTTTTCTTGAGCTGATTTGTCTCCTAAAAGGTCAGCATTTGGATTTAACTGATACTGGTTCAAATTGGTCAACCCTGTAAGCCTTGCAACTTTTATGGATAGTTATGTGACTAATTTGCACATTTATGTAGCTCTGGTGGGGTGACCTTTTATTCAACCATGTACATTGCCTTGCAGAACTTTTTTGATTTGGTAGTTTATTCCTAATCATCTCTTAAATCATTTTCTAGCTTGGAATTTCTTTTATCTATGTTATTACATCATGCTGAGAATCTTAAAAGGCTTGTTGTAGTTGCTGTTATCCAAGCATTTGTTTTTCAAGATCCAATGTTTGATATACCAATAATTATGTGTACATATACAAATATATGATATATATTTTTCATCACAGTTCAAAATGCATTACTAACTTTGTGTACTAGATAGCTCTTGATTTCTATGGAGATTCAGTGACAACTTAACTTTAGTTCCTCGTATATCTTTTCTTGCTCTTAATCCTGTTACTATCTTGTTGCTTTTAACTCAATGATTAGGTAAACTGATGCTTATATCTTTGTGTTGCAGGCTTACAACTTGAATACTTTGACTGATGTTCAACGAATTGCTATTAAAGACCTTGCAGATCTGGGACTAGTCAAACTTCAACAGGTGAAAACAAATTTATCTGTTCCTTCCCTTCCCTTGTGATGATAATTCAAATCATTAATGGCTTGATACATTATATCTTAATATCCTACTTTGTGATATGGCAGGGCAGGAAAGAGAGCTGGTTCATACCTACTAAATTGGCTACTAATCTTTCAGCAAGCTTCACAGATTCGTCATCAAACAAGGAGGTTTGTCTTTGGGTAGCTTTGTTAGATGCCTATGAATTAACAGAAATGTTTTCATTTTCTCAAGTGTTCAGTAACACTATTTATTTAGATTTTCAGACAGAAAAGTCTTGTAGTGATTCTAATTTTGTTTCTTCCTCTTTCTATGCTTTCTACCATATATTCTGCAAAGGTTAACTATGACCATCAAGCCCTCCCAGCTATGCTATATCAGCTCAGGAAATTCTCGAGAGTTTTTCCTATTCTCTTTGAGTCATCTGTGATTGAATGGAGCATCATTTTTCTAATAGAGATCGATGGATTCCTGTTGAATCTGCTCATGATTTATCTTGTTTTCATCTTCAGGGAACAAGTTATAATTTGCTCCTGTATTTTCTAATTTTTTCATGATTCATCTCTACATTCAAATTAGATCATTCAAAATACTTTATACATAAGGAAAAAAACATAATTTATACATAGCTTTTCACTCTTTTGATAGCCATCTACAAGGTTAAAAAACCAACCATATAGGGAAATTCCTGAATGAACTCAGTATGGGTTGACTTTTACCAGTCCACACCATGACTTGTACATGGACTGGACAAGTTTATTGGTTCTATTTCAAAGTTGGGGTTACTGCTAATACACTTACCATCATGACCAGTCTGATCAAAATTTTACTGGTACATATAGAAATACCAGATGATATACCTACCACCCCCTGGTACATGTATCTGTGAGGAGACAATTATCTCTTCGTTTTTTTTTCTTTCTTTCTCCTTTTTCTCTTGCATTCTCTCTCTCATGTCTCTCTCTCACATCTCTCTTCTTCCTCATCATCACCTCCTCACAGAGTCACTGCCACCACCAGCACCTCCATCCCAGTACATTGCAACCATTGTCACCTCCTTTCGATTCACATTGCCAACACCTTTTCTTTGCCTCCTCCCTCCCCTCTTCCTTTTCCTCTACCTTCTCCTCCTCCCTTGCCTCCTACTCTGGCTGGATATTTTCTAGTCGACATGGTGGCATAAGGTGTTCAGTATTTCTACCGGACCAAGATTTAGAACCTTAGTCATTTGCATAGAGCAACTGTGATATGGTGGATTGGCATGGACCTAGATGCTACTAGGTACATAGCAAAACTGATTTTCCTGGTAATTGATACCATTATTATGCATGAATATCTATTTATGAAGTCAATTGAGAGTTTGTTTAGCATGTACATAGTCCCTGGCATGATCTGAACTATTGTAAAAAAGAATGTTTGTGGTCTTATAGCCTCCAAACTAGATCACTTCTTGTCATATTATCTTTTATTTACTTAATGATTTCATCTGATTGAGACCATCTAGATTCTAGAGTATGACTGAAGCAAACATGCAAGCTGTAGGATTCACAAACTTGCATAAACAAGTATAAGAAACATGAACATCTTGATTATTCTTTTAAGAAGTTAGGAAAATCTTATTAGAACGGGAGAAATAGAATGTATGAGCTGTATTTATTAAGGATAAATATGGTGGTTCATTGATTGAAATGGTTGGAGCTGGAGCATGTACTGGAAATTCTGAGGATAGTTGCATTATCTGGCAGTATATTTGATTTGGTAAATGTCAGGCAAAAAAACCTCTCAAATAACCTGCATTGAACTTTTCAGTAGGTTCTATGGAGCCTGACAGTAAAAGAAAATTGATTAACCATCCCGAGTTCTATGAGTTTTGTTGGTTATGCTATTATTCTGAATGTTGACCGAGCACCTCATACTATTAGTTTTGATTCTATTGGTATCAATCATTTCCGATGCCTTTTACATAGGCCAATTTTAGGTTAAGCTAATGCTTCCAGATAAACAATAAGGAAAACCAAATAAATACAAAGGAGCTGATGCACAAAGTTCTGGACCAGACTCTGTCAGAACTATGGGGCAAATAAGCAGCAGCATTTCTTTCTGGGTATCTGATAGAACAAGGCCATCCACTGATGAACTTCTATGAAAGACCAGGGAAGGCAACAGTTTGTTGGTCAAGTTCAAATTACTGGAAGTTTATATTTTCTATCCACATTTAATTTGGTTATTTTGTTGTTATAATTGGTCATGCATGTTGCAACTGTTACTTCACTGATAGTTTATGTGTTTTCTATGTGAGAGAGACACTATCAAAATGTGTTTACCTGTTAATCTATCTTGTTTCTTATCCTTTAATGTTATCTTTAGCAGGGATACTGTTGTTAAAGCTTGTATGCAACTTTTAAACAGGGATTTGTCGTTGTGGAAACAAACTTCAGAATGTATGCATACTCGACATCTAAATTGTACTGTGAGATTCTACGTCTCTTTTCAAGGTAAAAGCATTCTAAAATACGTGCTATTGGGCATTTTTCCAAAGTTCATCTTTGCTGTCTCCGATAATAGAACACACTTTTGCATGCAGACAAAAAAAACCATTTATGCAAGATTTATATTCTCACTTCTTTTCATTCAATATCAGGTAGCCTTGTGAAACTTGGATAACCCATGTTGTTTGGTGATGTTGTACAAATTACAACTTTAAACTCTTTCTTTAAATAAACTATTTTATAAAAAAATCTAGACCTGATGTATCAAATTACATATCAGTGAACTTTGTGTAGCCTGGATTTGTTTAAAAGGTCCTGCTACTGTTATCCTATGAGGGGATTACTTAGGCCTTATGATGTCAATATATTTTTAGGCAAAATTTGATCTTAATCTTGTCATATTTTGTGGTAATTGAATAGCTAAAGTTGGTGTCAATTTTTTTACATGTAGTCATGCAATGTGACGGAAGCCAAACAAAATTGTAAACCTTCATAACATTCTTAAACACAAGTACATTGTTGGTTGTAGTTTAAATTCATGAAAAAATGAAGCATATTCTGAAATTCCCTTGGACATTATTTTCTTATTGTTTTCATTTTTTTTCTTTATGGAAAATATTTAGAAGGTAGGTTTTTAGACATGGATAAACTGTGTTTATGCCTTTTATCTATTTTTTTGGGCAATGAGTAAACGAAACTTTTCTTGATTCATTCTATTAGTTAATTTTAGACAAAGGATATTGACTCCTTTCATGAACAAAATGAAGAGAAAAAAAGAAGACTAGGTGATGGTTAAAGGATAAAGATAAAGTTCTTCTAATCAGGAGTTAGCTTTGTATTTAGTTGTCTTACTTTGCTCAAAATAGGCTATATGTTGCCTATTTTCAGGTAGAATGAATGCTTCTAGCCAATCTTTTTATCCATTCTTGGTCCCATTTTCACTTCTCTGGTCTATATCTAGATTTCTGCTCTTTATTGTTTGCTCTGTACTCTGCTAAAAAGTGTATGTGATTCTCCTTGACTGTATTGATGGGAGTGGGAGCCTTGGACATTGGGCGACCATTCTGTGTACTTCAACCTTTTGACTACTGAAATATATTGGATTGCTCAATTGAAGAATGAATACGAAAAAGAAATATCTTCCTGGATGTACAAGATATATAATTTTACGAGCTAATAATGTCTTATGATTGCTCATTTTTTTGTTGTTATTCTACATACATTCATGTTGGTTTCTGCATGAATTGCTATAGTTGCTTCAGTTTCTAGATCCGGTCAATGTTCTGTAGAAGATTCACCCTGGTCTCATGCATCCTCTGAACATTTAGCAAGCTTAGTGACCATCCAAATATGTGGTATTCTTAAGACTGCCACACCTTTAGCTAGTTCTCTGGAAAGGCTCCAAGCTGATGGTTCCTTCTGTAACCCAAAATTTGTACACCTTCAAATTTAAATCCTTATTCATCAGTTCTTTTGCTGGTCATTAACTTTTAATTTTTCCATATAATGTTACAGATTTGCAAGATAATTTTCTTCCAATAGAAAAAAAGACCTTTGCCATTCATTTAAACTCTCTGTAATTAGGGATACTGTTCCTGCAAAGTTTCTCTCTCTATTATGTCTGTTGCTGTCTCTTATACATAGACAGCTCTCCAGAATTTATTTTTTCTAATGTTTCCTCTATAATCAACATAAAAAAGGTCCGAACTCTTTCTTTGCAGTAGAAGGTCCTCATAGATATGTTCCTGCCACCTGAATTGTTCCTTGTTCAACCTACTAGTTTCTGGCTTTTATACAATCCTTTTAAGGAATCTGTAATTTAATGAGCAAGAGGTTGTTGTTGTAATCTAATCTACTTGGTCCCTGAAACTTCTTCTGCAAATATACTAATGCTCACAAAAGCGAAAGTGCCACAATTTTATGTAGTAGTGTGCTGGTCAGCATGACTGGTGTCACAAGATTAATGAATTTTGGTTTGCTGTTGTTGTGGCATGAAAATCCATGCTGAGTCTGGGTGCAATACGTTGCTGGCTGGCATGCTTTAGCTCAGACCAGCACAGTAACAGGAGAATGCTTTCTTATATTCCTTTCTTGTCCTATTTTCTTAACTAGAATCTAACCTAAAAGATTTAGGAAGGCTGTCAGAATAGCCTCATCCCAAACTTAGTAGAGAATATATGTTAGAGAGGATTCGCTGGAAAATCGAATAGGATTTTGCTAATATTCTCATAGTTTCTACATTCAGTATGTTCGTCGAGATAATGCTGGATCAGAACTGTGGAATTTGATGTCAGTTGGTTGCTTCTAGGTTAGGTTGGGGGCTTAAAATTGTTTATTTAATTTATGCAAACTCAAAATTGTATCCAGTTGTGATTTTCTATTCTTGAGTAATATCAGGAGTCATCATTAACGTTGTTGGTGTCTAGATCATCCGGTTACATTTTATTTAATAATGTTGTTGGCCCTCTCATACAAGTCATGTTGATTGAAATTAAAAATTGATGCATGTTTATCTCTTTGAGCCACTATATCCCTTCCCACTTTGGTATCTTCTCCTTACCTGTTTTGTCTTTCATCTCATATATCTCTTGCATCCTCCCATTTCTCACTTCCACACTTCTTCACAGCCCTGTTTCTCTGTTTCTTTGCTGAAACAACTCTGCAGCTGCAGGTTTACTGTTCATTTCTGCAGTAGTCATTGTTTGCTGTTTTGTCATCATTGCAGTAGGCCTTCTGGTTCTAGAACTGATTTGTTTCATCCTCCGACTCATCTACAACTGAAATCAGGCTCTTCTATTTGAGTTAGACTGAGAATTTTGCTTGAGATCAAGGAGAAAGCAACCTGAAGATCCTAAAGTTTCATGTACAAACTATTTCCAGTCGAAACATGTGACAAAATTTTGCTTACTATACAACTTGTATAGCTTTTGTTTCTTAATGATCCCCCCACTGCAAACTTGGTTGTATAAAAACATTAAAAGCAACATTTACTCAGTGATGTGTTATCAAATATCAATTTAAAATGTTGTTACATGTTTAACATATTGATTTTTTAATAATTTGTTGGCTGCTTCCTTATTTCAGAATCGAATATCAACTTCCAAACCTCCTTGTTGGAGCTATTACAAAAGAAAGTTTGTATAACGCTTTTGAGAATGGGATTACAGCTGATCAGGTTGAGCATTACCAGTTTTGTTATTACTTACTATACTTATTTACAACATTATGTGTTTTCTGTAATAACCTGATTGATTCACTACTGTTATATAGGATCATCATCTGCTCTGATTTTTTTTTGAACTTTTGCCTTTTCAGATTATTTGTTTTCTTCAGCAAAATGCACATCCTCGAGTTGCACAAAAGATACCTGCAGTTCCAGAAAATGTTACAGATCAGGTTGACTGTTGTAAAGATTGAGTCCCTTTTAGATTTAACCCCTTCCAAAATTATGGCTTTTCTTTTTAATGTCAAACTATTATATTCTGGGGCAAGTAGAACGATAGTCCTAGTTTTTAAAATGCTTGATGCTTTCTTGATCTTGAGCAATTAAGTTTTTCTTTTTCTTTATAAGGATAACAAATTCAAAAAATTTCTTGTTATTACTTTTGCAACTGTAACTTCTTTATCTCGCTTATCATCTGAGTGAATACATAGTTGCTAGTGAATTATAAGATTGATCCCTTGAAAAATATATTCTAATGCAGATTAGGCTCTGGGAAACCGATAAAAATAGAGTTGAGATCACTCCTTCATATCTATACGAAGATTTTCCATCAAAGGTGATAAATTGGCAATAGCAGATAGCATTTGTCTACATGTTAATTATCTTATTATAATTTTTTCCTCATTTTCTTTATTTCGCTCTTTATACTTCAACCTTGTGCAGGAAGTATTTGAAGCAGCATGTGATTTTGCAAGGGAGCTGGGTGGATTGTTGTTTGAAGATTCAAGAACCATGCGATTAGTTGTTCGTGTCGAGGTGCACCAAGAGATGCGAGATTTTCTGCGTCGCCAGAGATAAAACATTGGTGGCTTAATGAATCCTAGAAAACTGGGGAAATGCTCTAATTACAAGTGTGTACAGTAAATGTTGGTGGTCAATTTTGACATGCAGAGTCTTTTGTTTGGGTTAGACATGGTGTGTAGCACATGTTTTTAGATTATTATACTAAGCTCACTAGTTAGCAATTGAATATTTTGGCAGATAGAGAAATGACTGGATGCCCATCGATCTCCCTCATAATGACTTATAGAATGAATCAGATTGATGTATTACATTGTGATGACTTTTGCTGTCTGGATATAGCAGGATTCATAAAGTCCACCGAGTTGTACTGCATGGTTTAAGGACGCTTGAAGTCACAACCATGGATGAGATAACCTTCATGAAGATGAAGGAATGACGACAGCAATCAGGAACAGTTCATATCTCTGAAGACTGCTCATCTCAATCCTTGTTGAGGAAACCTGTGTTGCACTTAATGTGGGATCCCCTTGAACAAACTTAGGCAGTTGTTGCTACTGTTAATGTATGCAAAAGGGGCACAATCTCAATTATGTACTGTAATTCCTTTGGTCAGAGTTGTCTGTAGGAAATATCTTCCATGATGGTGTGATGTCCAGGTTTGAGATGTGTGTATGTTGTAATTTGTCTTAGAGCAAATATGAATGTCTTTCCATATGTTAAAAAGCAAGTTGCAGCAGAATTATCCATGACAGATGGATGCATGCTTTCAAGGATCTAATATTTGTCATATTCCAACTTACATGGTATACAGGTCTGAAACCTTGGTTTGGCAATCAACCTCTCCCTATCACTGTTGTGGGTCGGTCGTTCGGCTTGTCCCTCGTTTGTCACCCCTATGGCAATATATCAAGAGGGGATATTGAAGCTGCTATATAAGGTTGTTTCTCAATTGGTTAGGTATAAAAATCGACCGTCAACGTTGATCTAAGGCTTGGATTTTTTGAAAGGATATCTTACACTCCACATAAATCCTGAGAGGATTAACTTGAGCGACGAAGAAACCAGATTGAAAATCTTCTCTCGACATTGGTCTTTGTGTAGGAACCCTTCGAGAAGCCAAACTCCATCTTGGTATAGCTTAGAGAGGACCTCGAATGTCCCCACATCTTTGGATCTTAATCAGGTTGACTCAACTCTAAGTGTTGATGGTACATTCCCTCAATATTTTAACACTCGGAGGGTATCAACGTCATCGCAGGAACATTCACCTCTAAACCCTCTCAACAAGTACTCCAATGAGGAAGCCCTCCTCCCAACCCATATCACATTTACCCAAGGGGGATAGCTACCCTCCTTTCCCCAAGTGGATGCGTCTACTTCTGCTTAAACATTGGAGCGTAACCGACGTTTATTCAATGACTCGGGACTTTTACCTCCGGGGACAAATGTAAGACACCTGACTGTTTCTACCGATGTGTTCATAAATCTCATCCATCAAGTTTAAATGCTCATGAGCATGATATAAGTTATCACCCCGCTCCTACCCCAACTAGCTCAACAAATAATATCATCGTCTTAGCCATGGCCAATGTCCCAACCATCATTGGCACATGCACTTGGTGGGACTCCCCCAACCTATGCTTGTGAGCACCCTACTCCTCGATTGTAAGTTTGGTATGCCACTGCATCAGTGCCCTGCTCTGCTCAAATCAAAGACCTAATCAACAGATTCAATGAATGACTCCTTGAGTGCTCGATTGCGACAAATGGACTAAGCCAAGCTAACTCAAGTGTCGATGGTACATTTGCTCAACAAAATATTACTTCACAATACTCTAAGAAAATGAAGGCAGATTTAGGATCCACTCATTTAGCAACATATACATTCATATATGTATAATTATATATATACACGTTTCATCGAGATAATTTGTCGAAGTATATGATTGAAATATTTTGTAAACCACACGTTATTATTAACTATTGAACTAATTTGGACCCGAATGAAGCTAAGACTAATTCTGGACGAAGTGTTTCAGAGTGAAAGCTGACATATTGACTATATCTTCATTTGTGACGAGCAATGGGTTTTGGCTCGTATTAGATCTACCGCGGTTTAGATACAACGTATGGTTAAGTAGACGAAATCCAACCGGATGGCATCCTTATATTGGACTCAGCCCATCTACAGGCCTGAGCCCAATTAAGCAGCTACTATGGGAACATGATGGAAACGCTTCTCGGCCGTGTGTTTTGGAACGAACGGCTTTGATCAGCCCAACGACATTTCTCTCTCCTATTGGTTGAGACCTTCGAAGCTCGAGTTCTTATTGGTCCACGTCGTCGGTATGACATGTTCCCTTCGTTCCAAATGGTCGAAGTGGATCCGAATCGTTCACACTCCCATACCCAAAACCCATTATAAATTCCGCTCGAGTCCCTGTCGACCGCCACCGAGCGAGAGAGAGAGAGAGAGAGAGAGCAACCGAGTTATTTTGGTTGTGAGGAAAGCACCCAGGGGGAGAGGTGATGGATCGATCGTTGCGGAACCGAGGGTCCGTGATCCTGTTGGGTCTCTTGCTTGCTGGTAAGTTCTTCTGATCTGATCTTAGTGGCGTCATCTTCGGTTTTGTTTCTCCGATCATGATCTCTGGGCTTAGGGTATGGATCGATCTGATATATAATGTTGCTGCGCGAGGGAGCGTGTTACTTGTTCCCGTACGAGTATACAGACTGTCTTGGCTTGGATTCGTTCCGTATCGTTGATTTCTTTTAAGTTTAGATAAACATACTTTTTTCCCATAAGATTTAAATTAATTGATGCTTGGAATTATATGTTGTTGTCTTCAAGCTGTTCCCAATACTTAAGAAAGAAAAAAAGAAAGAAGTTTGGGTCATTGGTGTTTGCGAATTGATAATTGTTGAGGACTATCTGTTCTTGTCTTCGCAAATGACATGTATATTATTATCTGTTCGCAATCACCTGCTTTAGAGGTCATAAGCTACGAGGTTCTGCCGTAAGCGTTGATTGGTTTGGAATGGGATGGCTGTTCCCGTATGGTTCTTTTTGGTGCTTCGTGTAACGTTTTTGACCTATACATTCATTAAAGAACTTTAGACTTGGATTTGCGTCTCAAGAAAAGGATACTTTATGGTCGATATAAGCAACTGGAGTTCCATAATCCATATGAATTCAAAGAACATTGCATGTTGTTGTCATTGTGAGTCTAGTTAAGATGCTTCACCTGTTTTTGGTGATTCCTCCAATTAACTATCCGGTGATTTCTCGGGCAGATGGGCTAGTCACTTCTCATATAGGGCTTCCTCTGTCTCTACACGGGTAACTTTTGACCACTGGTGACATCCTTGATTGATTGTAACACTTGAATGATTGCAACACTCGAAGACTGAACCTTGTTCGCCCTTCTTTAACTAAATTTGCAATTTTCCATAGTTGCCATTTCTAATCTTGTATTAAGATGGTAATCACATTAAGATTTGAGAAATGCCTCTTCATAAGGTGATGGTAATCCAATGAAATTCTATGAAATCCAATGAGGTTGAGTTCCTATTTGCTTCTCTTCCGATATGAGATTCAATTTGATTCCTCCAATATGAAATCCAATGAAGTCTCGTTACTGAACAACCAAGGATATATAGATGACTGATCGTATTTGTTGTTGCTGAAGCTTGCCCAATCTTTTTAAAAACTGAGCACTATCTTGATATTATCAGCTTTGTGTTTTCTTTAGATCATACAAGTAGTCAAATATGTTTTCTGAAAGTAGAATATCTAGCCATGATAAAGCATATAAGAATAAATTTGCTGATATATTTGCAGGATCTTTGTTTGCATTCTCAATTGCTAAGGAAGAGGCCACCAAGTTGGGAACAGTTATTGGGATAGATCTTGGCACCACCTACTCTTGTGTTGGTGTCTATAAGAACGGTCATGTTGAGATCATAGCCAATGACCAAGGAAACCGCATCACCCCATCTTGGGTGGCTTTCACTGATTCTGAGAGATTGATTGGTGAGGCCGCAAAGAATCAGGCAGCCGTGAACGCCGAAAGGACCATTTTCGACGTGAAAAGACTTATCGGAAGAAGGTGAGTTAGCTTTATATGCTGGGTCGTTTATCTGTTGAGGCAAATGTTATTAGATGCTTACGAAGTTGTGACCTGCAGATTTGAGGACAAAGAAGTACAGAGGGACATGAAACTTGTTCCATACAAAATCGTTAACAAGGATGGTAAGCCTTATATCCAAGTCAAGATCAAGGATGGTGAAGTTAAAGTTTTTAGCCCCGAGGAAATCAGTGCAATGATTTTGACAAAGATGAAAGAGACGGCAGAGGCTTTCCTCGGAAAGAAAATTAACGATGCTGTGGTTACTGTTCCAGGTATAAAAAGAACATCTTTGATGAGTTTCCTCCTTGAACTATATGATTTTTTCTCTAGAAACATTCTCATTTGTTCTTCTTTTTGTGCTGCAGCTTATTTCAATGATGCTCAAAGGCAGGCAACCAAAGATGCTGGCATTATAGCTGGCTTGAATGTGGCCAGAATTATCAATGAACCAACCGCTGCTGCCATAGCATATGGTCTGGACAAGAAGGGTGGTGAAAAGAACATTCTTGTTTTTGACCTTGGTGGTGGGACATTCGATGTTAGCATCCTGACAATCGATAATGGAGTTTTTGAAGTTCTTGCCACTAATGGCGACACTCATCTGGGAGGTAATATCAACATGAAGTCTCTACTGCATGATCGATATGTCAATTCAAAATAGGAACATTATAATAGATATGTTTGGAGTTCAGCTGAAAAATCTATTTAGGATGTGAATGCAATTGAAATTTAGTATTATTTTGGATCATACTCTTTAAAATACCACATATATATAGTTCTCTAATTGGTCATTTTCATGTTGTGAAAATTTCATCTTTCCTATTAACAGTTAGCCAATCGAGTAATCGTTCCTGGTTGCTTTGTTTGATGTGTTGTGTACGATGCTTATGAATATTCATTCCTTTCTCTTTGCAGGTGAGGACTTTGATCAGAGAATCATGGAATACTTCATTAAACTGATCAAGAAGAAGCATGGAAAGGACATCAGTAAGGATAACCGTGCTCTTGGGAAGCTGAGGAGGGAAGCCGAACGTGCCAAGAGAGCTTTGAGTAACCAGCACCAAGTCCGTGTTGAGATCGAATCGATCTACGAAGGCTTGGATTTCTCTGAGCCTCTTACTCGTGCCCGTTTCGAAGAGTTGAACAACGATCTATTCAGGAAGACTATGGGCCCCGTGAAGAAGGCTATGGAAGACGCCGGACTGGAGAAGAACCAGATTGATGAGATTGTTCTCGTCGGCGGGAGCACAAGGATTCCGAAGGTCCAACAACTCTTGAAGGATTACTTCGATGGAAAAGAGCCAAACAAGGGGGTCAACCCGGACGAGGCCGTAGCATACGGTGCGGCTGTACAGGGAAGCATTCTGAGCGGAGAAGGCGGTGAAGAAACTAAAGGTACGTTCGACTACATTCCATTTGTGATCTTCCTCATCCTTTGCTTAATTACATTGTCTCTCTGCAACCAGACATTCTTCTTCTGGATGTGGCACCTCTCACTCTTGGGATTGAGACGGTTGGTGGAGTGATGACCAAGTTGATTCCAAGGAACACTGTGATCCCAACCAAGAAGTCTCAGGTGTTCACAACGTACCAAGATCAGCAGACTGTTGTCTCCGTCCAGGTACTTCCAACTTCTTTACTATCCTGATTGCAGACATGTCTCGCTTCTCTTACTGCTAATTAATAGGAACTTCACACACATCTTTGTCCCTCTCACTATACTGTAGGTCTTCGAGGGCGAGAGGAGTCTCACGAAGGACTGCAGACTGCTTGGCAAGTTTGATTTATCTGGAATTCCACCAGCTCCTAGGTTTGTCTTCCTTCTGCTTCTCAGATTCCGTACTCCAAATTTTAGATCTTGCCAGTAACTTGTTCCCACCATATGACAAAACAGGGGCACGCCTCAGATCGAAGTCACTTTCGAGGTCGATGCCAATGGCATTTTGAACGTCAGGGCAGAAGATAAGGGTACCGGAAAGTCGGAGAAGATCACCATCACCAACGAGAAGGGCCGGCTCAGCCAGGAAGAGATTGAACGGATGGTTCGGGAGGCAGAGGAGTTCGCCGAGGAGGACAAGAAGGTGAAGGAGAAGATTGATGCTCGTAACCAGTTGGAGACCTATGTCTACAACATGAAGAACACCATTAACGACAAGGATAAGCTCGCCGACAAGATCGAGAGTGAAGAGAAGGAGAAGATAGAGGCAGCACTGAAGGACGCCCTGGAGTGGCTGGACGACAACCAGAATGCCGAGAAAGAGGACTACGATGAGAAGCTCAAGGAGGTGGAAGCTGTTTGCAATCCCATCATTTCTGCTGTGTATCAGAAATCTGGCGGCGCGCCTGGCGGTGGCTCCGACGGCGGTGACGACGACGACGACGCACACGACGAGCTTTAAAGCAGCAGACATTCTAGATGGGATTTCTACAGATTTGAGATCAGAGCTCATCAGAAAGAGCTCGGCTCGTTAGCTCAAGCCTGGTTTTTGATTCCGGATTCTTCATACCCTAGAAATAGATTTCTCTTCTTTTAATGCCTTTTATTTAGCTAGTAAAAATGTGCCTCTTCTTATCCTGTCAACAAAGAAGACAAATCTAAGCACAGATACTGAGTCAACTATAAAGATGAACAAAGCAACACGCAGACTCCTCCCCGACTTATTTCTCAGTTTACTCACCAGATCAGAAGCAAGCAGTAACGCTCCAGAGGCGATAAATACCACACTCAGCGACCTGCTTTACCTTGTCCGCCGCCCCCTTTAACGCTTTGCTCCAGCTTAAGCTTCTCTTCCAGCCACCTCGAAGCCATGCCGTAGACCCCTTTGATGGGATCCACGGCGTCTGGCTCGTCCACTACCCTATCGCCCGCCTGACGCAACCTCTCCCTCGCCATCATCTTGAGGTAGCAGGAGTGTACGCCATCCATGTTCTCCTTCAACCACGACGTGCCGTCCAGTCCCGATTGATCCATCATGATCATGATCTCCGAAACAACATCGCCAACGGTGGCCGACACGTTCCTGAAGATGTCTTCGCTTCCTCGAGGGAGATCGCTGTTGGAGCTCCTGCTCCTCCCGAGCTGTGGCTGCGCAGGAACCGTGTTCCTGGGGAAGACCGGCGCCCGACACGCCAACTCGGTGGCGTTGCCGACGACTCTCACAGCAGTCAGATCTGACATGTGGAAGGGGACGGCGGTTGCACGCTGCGGTGGGATTTCTCGGGTCTGTGTTGGATTCCTTGGGAGAGGGAAGGGAAAACGAGAAGTGGTGATAACGTCTGTATCAGAGAGCTGCGAGGCCACCGGAGGTACAGGGGATGAGGACTGGGAATCCACAATGGCGGCCGCCGCCGCCTGGCTCTTCCAGTTGGAGCCATGGCTCTTGTTCTTGCGAGCCATGGACGACCTTTGGCTTCAAAGGCACTCACTGGTATATATATATATATATATATATATATATATATATATATATAGAGAGAGAGAGAGAGAGAGAGAGAGAGAGAGAGAGAGAGAGAGGGGCAAATGTCTGAAGATATGGTTTTCTGAGAGCATGTTACGGCCGGGGGAAGCACTCCAAATTGATGCTATAGATTAATGGAACTTAATTATCTTTCTTGCAATTATGAATTAAAGCGTAAGGTTTTCTCTATTAGCGTTATATTATTTTATAGATACCTCATGTATCCATAAGATCTTGTGACGATCTTAGGATTTCATGAATCTAGTTAGGCTTCTCGTGTCGCTTGCTGTGATCGTCCTCAATCCCTTCCTTGTTCACCCTGTGTTCTGTTGATAACAGAGTTTGAACACACGAAACATCATCATGAACTGCATCAGAAACAGGCATAAGATCGCAAGTCTTCGAAGCAACTTTTGCCAAGAACGGTCATGCTCGGATCAATCCCTGCAGTAGCACAAGAACCGAGTTCTCAGGGTTTGTGGATGCAATGTCCTATATCTCATGAACCAAACCGGAGCTTGAACTCCACCACTGGCAAGATCAAGAACAGCACGGGGAGTATCATCACCAGATCAAGAAATGGTCTTTTGAGAGAGGTTAACGGCCCAACTAACTCAGCATCTAGGCGCTGCTTTCGCCGCCAGGACCATCGCCGCTGCTTTCGCCGCTGGGACCAGCGCCGCTGCTTTCGCCGCCGGGACCAGCGCCGCTGCTTTCGCCGCCGGGAACAGCGCCGCTGCTTGCGCCGCCGGGACCATCGCCGCTGCCAGAAGAACTGCCGCCTTGTCCCCCGGGATCGCGGAGGGAACCACCGGCGCGGGTCTGCTCAACCATGCGGCTCATCAGCAGCGACGTCGCGTTGAACGCCTGCAGAATCGTGTCAAAGTCCGCGTAAGCGGCGATGGACGCGTTCACCACCTCCGTCTCATCTCTCTCGTCCGCCAGCTGTACTATCATGTTGATCGCGTCCATCACGGTTGGGATCGAGTTAGCTACATGGGCCAGGCCGCTCTGCAGCGACGTCGAGCTATCTGCGGCCGGAACGTTCGCCGCGTTCAGATGGCACCTTGCAGCGAATAGGTCCTCAGCCGTGTAACAAATAAGCGCAAAGATATCTCGTTCTTGATCCGTGACGCGTGGTAAGGTAGTCCGAGGAGGCGGCGGAAGCGGCAGAGGCGGTCTCCCAAGGTTGGCGGCGGAGGAAGACGGTCTTCGAGAGGTGAGACGTGAGGATGAGGTTCCTTGGGTCGGTCGTTGACGGGTTGAGGGAGCGGAGCTCGGTCGACGAGGAGCCGAGGTGGAGGCTTCACCTGAAGATCTGAGCGATGAGTCATCCGCAGGAGGGAGCAGGCGAGAGGAGGGCAATGGTGGCGGGATGGCGTAAGAGCACGGATCTTGAGAGGCGGGAGGGGAGGTACTCGGTGGTAGAGCAGTGGAGGGATCGGGGCGCAGAGAAGGATGAGATGTCGAGACTTCACCCGCAGTCGTGGGCTCTACTTCTGCCGGGAGAGGGAGGAGGCGGGAGGAGAGGGATGGTGGAGGGATGGCGGAAGAGGGCGGTTCTTGAGAGGCGGGAGGTAAGAGCGGGGTTTCTTGGGTCGGTGGTGAATGGCCTGAGGGAGCAGTAGAGGAAGGACGAATGGTGGCGGCTTCACTGGCGTCGTCAGATGGGACGGCCGTGCTGGAGGAGCCGGGCACATTCTTGGACTTGGAGCTGCGGCCGCGGCCCTTCTTCTTGGGCGCCATGTGAGAAAGACTTGCCTTCTCATTCACTCGACGAGAGAGAGAGAGAGAGAGAGAGAGAGAGAGAGGGAGGGAGAGACTTCCCAACATATATTATAAGCCAACAAAAGACCCCAAAAACAAAACACAAAAGAAAAGAATTTGTAATTTATAATGAAAGAAAAAGAAAAAAAAATTCAGCCAAATTTATAATACACTATAAAATATCATAGATGAAACAGCATGAAATTAAATAGTAATTTGCCTTATAAGAACATAAACTTTCATGTGAAAAATGGACTTACTCCCTGACCTTCTTACCGGGTGAGCCATAGTTTAGATCCGAACCCGTTATATATTTTCTTCTTTCTTTTCTCTTTGGTGCTTTCCTGACCTCCTTACCGGGTGTGGCAGCACTTCGATCCGAACCCGCTATACATTCTCTTGCTTCCCTGACCTCCTTGCCGGGTATGCCTGCGCTTGGATCCGAACCCGATCTTGTGTACGGTTAAGATTCGGCGGGCGGTCCACATGACGCGCGACCATGTAAACATCTCCCCTTTTTCGCGTACCCGAACTTTCTCATTGGAAGTAGCGGCTGGTTCTTGTGGGACCCGTAGGTGGGCCATAGGATTTTCTCCAATCAGTCGCAAGGGTAGGTGAGATACGAGAACCCGTTTGGATCCCCGGCCGACACACTCACAACCTGCTTGCTTCACCCGGTGAAATCGCGTTTCACGTGGCCGGCGTGTTTCCACCACGTCATCAACCGCTCTTGTCGCGGCGGAGCGGAGTACAAGTCTGCCTCGCCTCTTCGTTCGGGCCAAGATCGTCTTCTCTGGATCCGAGGCGTTCTTCTTCTCTATATCTGAGCCGATCTCAGTCTTCTTTTTCTCTCAATCCTGCAAATCTTGCGGGGTGCGGCTACCCCCTGGTGCCAGTTTTCTTTCCCCCTCCGACCTGTGATCAAATCTCAACCCGGGAGGTCCTTCGTTTCTGAAATCAGGGGAATGGCAGCGAGGAAACCCGGAGTCATCGCCTTGTTCGACGTCGACGGGACGCTCACCGCCCCTAGGAAGGTGCGATTTGCTCGGTCATTGACCATCGAAGCGGTGTTCCAAGTCTAATTTCTAACGGATTCTTGCTTTCTCTTGGTGGTGATTTCTTTTGTTAGGTGATAACGCTGCAGATGCTCGAGTTCATGCGGGATCTGAGAGAGGTAGTAAAAGATCCAGCTTTGTATTTGTTCTTCTGGAATGTAATGGGGTAAGATTCAGTAGCATTCTGTGGGCAGGTCGTGACTGTAGGTGTTGTTGGAGGATCGGACCTCGTTAAGATAACAGAACAACTTGGAAAAACAAGTATGCTCAAACCCTAGAATATATGCTCAACATTGCGCTCTTTCATGTTGTCATGGCTTGTGCTTACATCATTCTACCACCAAGTTGTTTGCTTTTTCTTTTTTTACTTTTCCCCTCTAGGCTAATGCTTTTGACAAGATAATGATTTTCCTTCTGAGCACCGATTATTAGTAAAAGTAGGCTTCAAATAACCATCGCAACAGTATATAGATACAGATCATAGCAATTATGATCTCATTTATTTGTCTTCTTAGTTGCCATTTGACTTCAGAGTCGAAATGATTTTGAGAAGAATTTGTGATGTAGTTCAACTTAAGTATGCCCTCCTGTTTGATGCAAAGGCAAATTGCATTTTTTTGAATAGCTAGTGCTTCTCTCAATCTGCAGTCTTTTCTTTGCTTCAAATGACAGTTAAAAGTTACAGTAAATGCTAGTTATGCAGTATTTACTGCTTGAGTGTTGCATAAAATCAATTATGGCACCTCTGATTCCCAGCAGAGCTAAAACTTTGGGTGACACCTACTATCCCTTAGACTCACCCAATTAAAAGGATCCCAGTTCGAAACTCAGATTTTAAATTGACTTCAAAGTGAGGACTTTTTCAAGTTTCAGTAACTGTGCTCTTTTGAATTGGAGATGAAATTTGATGGGACAATTGCTTGGCTTTGTATGAGGCTAATACTGTGTTGTTTGCGTCTTTTACATATTCTTCATGGTTGAGGGTTAGACATGCTGATTTTCTTTCTATGCAGTTATGAATGACTATGATTATGTATTCTCGGAAAATGGCCTTCTTGCTCACAAGAATGGGGAACTAATTGGTAGGCAGGTATGCATCTGCTGAATTGTAGTTTTTTTCAATCGAATAAGTTGCAAAGTAATAATTTCTGTGATTAAGATCTCATGATAAATAAATCTTGATAACTACAGACAATTGTTTCACAGGTTTTCTTTTTCTGGATCTTTTAAATGGGCCAATATGTTGCTTCAAACTATATGATTGTTTTATAAAGTTTAAGAGATAACTGAGACTGTCAGCAGTTTGGAGTACATACAAGTCAACTTTTTTTTCCCTTTTATGCTTGGAGATCTTCAATTGAGCTCATGTTCCACTTTATTATAGAAAGCAACCTAATTTGGGAATATCAGAGTGAGAAAGCTCATGATATTATACTTGGCATATTTAATTTTTGCTTAGTCGACTGTATTTTTGCCATCTCAACTTTTCAATAGGGGATTACCTTCCACAAGATGAAAAGATTTTGTATCTTATACTTCTTAACCATCGTCCTTCTTCATATGTTAAAACAGTGGTGAAGAGTTTACTTGCCTGAATTAGTCATTGAACTATCAGTATAGACCATAAAGGACATGAAATAGTTGAAGCTGGCATACGAACTGTCTGTCGCTTGTGAACTTGGTTAATTTTTTTTTCTTGTAAAAAGTTTGATCGTTTATTATCATTTCATGGCTTAATTTCAATTTAATCATGAATCTCTGAAGATTTATCTTCAGTGAGACTTTATATTTCTTTCCTTTTTTATGTTTAATTTATCATTTATATGCAACTGCGAGTTTGATCTCATTCGATAAAGTATTAAATATGGACCTTATTCTTTCTTCTGATCTAGTATATGTAGATTGTCCAAGGTTTAATATTTAATGATAAACTAGAGAATCTCCAGGATTATATACATCCAAAATTTTTGGTGGTCGACTAATCATACTCCATATCATTCTCATATCTGCCAGTGTGATCCCCCTCCCAAAAAATAGAAATTGAAGATTTCACTAGCAGTATCATTGATGAGATTTGCATTTGACTTTAAAAGTAGTAAGAGATGACTCCCAATAAAGACTATTACCAGTATTGAATTACTTAATGCTTGGGAATTGGACAAAGGAGCTACAACTGTTGTTGTGGTTAGCTACCATCATGCAGTATTGCAAATTTATCCAACCTAATGTAGATGTTTATGAAAACTGATGATTGTATGTACTTGTTGATTCTTTTCCACTTTCCTCTGGGATTTTCTGATGTAAAATATGTTCTTTGATGTTATACAGAGTTTGAAATCATTCCTTGGCGATGATAGACTGAAGGTGAGATACTCAATTTTGCATGTCATTCATGAAGCATTCTGAGAAGAGCTAAAGTTGAACTGTTTAAACAGGAGTTCATTAATTTCACCCTCCATTATATTGCCGACTTGGATATACCAATAAAGAGGTTTGTGAAGATCTCAATGAAATATTGTTTTAGAAAAAAATAGTACTAGCATGAACTCAAAGTTCTTCGGCATTATTTGGTGGTTAGGGGAACATTTATTGAGTTCCGAAGTGGAATGCTTAATGTCTCTCCGATAGGGCGGAATTGTAGCCAAGAGGAGCGTGATGAGTTTGAAAAATATGATAAGGCATGTACTCTTTGTCAAAGTAAACATGATGCTTGATATTTTGGTTTCAGCTTGGTCTATATGTTCTGAGATTGTTGAAAGCTTATCATCTGTTGTCTATTAGGTTCACAACATAAGGCCACAGATGGTCTCTGTGCTGCGTGAAAAGTTTGCACATATGGATCTGACATTTTCCATAGGGGGACAAATAAGTTTTGATGTATGTTTTGACAAGTAGGTAAAACCTTTTAATTTGAAGGCCAATACTAGTTATGCTGCTACTTGATTCTGGTTGCAGGTTTTCCCTCAAGGTTGGGACAAGACATACTGTTTAAAATATCTTGATGAATTTCAGGAAATACACTTTTTCGGTGACAAAACCTACAAGGTAGAATCTAAAAAACTCTCTCTGTATGATGCTTGGCCATGTCATATTGACAAAACTACATTTAATGAAAAGTCCATGGAGTTTATACAACAGCTGCTATTTGACTCCCCAGTTGGAGTAAATGCAGGTGGCTTTTTCCACTCCACCAAACTTACCAACCTTTTGTATAAAAATGTTGATGTATCTGTGCAATCTTCACATGAGCTTCAATGAATTTGATTTCTGATTGATGAAATCCATATTGATTAGGAAGTTTTGTTGATCTAGTTGTGACCGACATGCAAGTGTTGACATTGATGACTCAACGGTTGACGACCGGTGTTTCTTTCTTGCATAATCAAGTGTACCTTGTATAATCTGTGTGTTCACCTGCATAATTATGTCGGTAGAGGTTCTTCCTTTGTTAAAAGACTTGATATTTCAGTGTTTAGTTGGATATTTAAATGAAAATTTAGCAGCTCTAACACCAGTTTTTGAATAGAGTATATTTATTAATTTATCATCTTTTTTATATATGCATTTGTAAGTATTGATGAATTGTTGCCATATGCCTCAAGTAATTTCGACGAGTGGTATAAAATTTTTCCTTTGCACATTGATCTTCTCAAGTTTATTTGTACCTTTTATGTAGTTATTTGACGGATTAGCCTTATTTTTGTTCTTTGTTTATACCTACTTAAGCAGTCTCAGGTACCTTAAATGGATTTTGTGATGTCATTATTATGCTTCTTCTTTTTGTGTACAGGGAGGGAATGACTATGAAATTTACGGGTCTGAACGAACTATTGGTCATACGGGTATGCTTTATAATATTGTTCTTAACGCCTGCACTATATTTGTACTTTGGAATCAACTCATTTACTTTTTCACAATATCTGAGGTTATTGACAGATGCTTCTTTTTTCTGTATTCGATTGAATGCTCTTCACTTGGTGTGTTCACTCCTTATTATCAAAGCATATGTAGCTGCTTGACCCAAGAGATGATTTGAACATTAGTTTTATTTTAAGAACTAAAAGTTATAAATTGAGGAATTTATGTGATTTTGATGAGTTAAAATGAGACTGTTGTTTGTGGGAAACTTCATCTACTTAGTCATCATGTCAGATGGAATAGTTTCAGAGGGCATCCTTTAAGCTGCTTAGTTCTATTCTGTTTGGATTCAAGAGGTATGTGATAAGGGACTAAACAACATTTGGTTTGAAGGTTTAGAAATGTAGAGCACCCAGCTCATTAGCAAATGACTATTCTATGTTCTTGTTGTATATTCTCCAAACAAGGGTGTCCAATTCACAACAACAAAGCTTGATTTGCTTAAACACAATCCTTATTGTATCAACTTACAAACTATGGTCAACCTCAAGTCACGCATTTTCTCACATTTCAATCCAGTTGTCTTATCTTTTCTCCTCCACTTGGTTAGGTAGATAATTTAAGCTTGGTTATCTGGCTTTTCACTTCAAATATCCTTTTGATTGTACATTCTACTGATAATTTATACTTGCTCTGTGCCCAGTGACAAGTCCAGATGACACCGCAGCACAATGCAGATCTTTGTTTCTGGAAAATTGATTGGAGATGCCTGAGCTTGAAGCAACATATCAAATTGTTCAATTCAATAGATCTTGTTGATCATACTCCAACTACATGAATATTTCTGTTGAAATAGACTCTTATCGATTCCATCTCCAAAACTACTTGTTGCCAGGTAAACTTCAAAATAAAGAGCTTATGGCATTCATCTGTTGCCCGTGAACTGCTCATTTGTTCTTTTAGATTTCCTTTCTGGTATTGTATTGGAACGAGATGGTTTGCCATCTGAAAAGGACAACTATTTTTCTTCCGAGTAGAAGCAGAACAAAGGTATCTATTAAAATTGCTGATCAAGGAGAGGGTCCTTAATATCATTACCAATGCTTGCTAAATCTTCTTGTTCATTATGGTTTGATCAGCATCATTTATCCGCTTTGATTGCCAATTGATGCACAGATTAGTCCAAATCGGAGGGTTCCATGTGATTCTATATTTTTCCTTCTGTATTTCTCCTCCTTTTTCTTTCAATATTTCTTCTTCCTTATTCTTTCTATATTTCTTCTTCCTTCTTTCTATTTCTCCTCCTTTTTCTTTCAGAATTCCTCTTCGGTAATCAAAATTGGAAGCATAGATCTGCAAGGCAATGTTGAAGACAGGAAGAATCAATCAGAGGCTGACATCTCACATTGTGTTGTGTTGTTTACTTAACATGAATCCGGAAAGATCTGCAACCGGTCAGATGTCTCAACCTTTGCTATGGATACCATCAAAAACAACATATCAGAGACAGTCTCTCCCTGCCATTGCCCGCCGAAGAAGAAGAAAGCTTAGAGATGGAAAACAAGCTGGATTTGCAGTAAGCAGAGCCTAATCTACATAACAGTGCAAGCATTCGGGTTCTCGTCGCTGAACAGCGACGCCACGGTCTCATCGGACGCCACGGCCACCGAGTACACGGCCGGAGTGTGGAAGAACGCTTGCACCTCCGCAGCGTCGCAGCCGGGCGTCTCGGAGTAGTACGAAGACGCTATGCCCGCCGGGTAGGTGTAGAAGGAGGACAAGTGGGAGTGTCCCCGCGGGTACGGCCATGGCTCCGCCGTCTTCCCGATGCTCCGAATCGCCTTGATGACCTTCTTCTCGTGCACGGCGTATCCCCTCACCGTTATCTTCTGCGACTCCACGTCGATGTCCACCTCCTTCACCCCTACAGTTGACCGGACCTGTAATGCCCATCCTCTCCATCTACGGCAGCTGGGAATCATGGATCGACGCACAACACTGACTACTGAGAATTACCTTTGAGCTTGAGGAGAGCTCGTCGGATCTTGGAGGAGCAGCCCTCGCAGTCCAGGTTCCGAACTCTCACCTCCAACCCCTGCATCCACACCCAATACACTCAACGCATGTCATCACGATGCTGCACGTGAAGGAAGGCTTACCGCCATGGACCTTGGGCTAGCTGTGGGCGAAGGCAGTGATCCGAGCTGAGGGAAGAAGCTCTTGGGCTTATAAAAGGAGGAAGCAGCGTCCTGTCTCCATCACCTGCGATCATCATCATGGGGAAGAGAGAGAGAGAGAGAGAGAGAGAGGTGGTGGGGATGGCTTGGAGCGCTGGCGTTTGAAATTTGAAGGAGGAAGAGGGGGAGTCGAGCTACAGTGGCAGCATCGGCATCAAAGTACACATGAAGCAGCACATCGTTCACCTTCTCGCTGCTGCTTTTGCTGGTTTGTCACCTCTGTGGCTGCAAGAATCCCCGGCAGCATCCTTTCTTTTCTTGACCTCCACGACAAGAGTTGAAAGGAACATGTCATGTTTCACCTCAACGTCACCGACACAGCTGATCTTGCTCGAGTAATATGCATCTGCTCACCAAAGGTTAGTCTTTACAGAGATCAAATATATTAGTGACAAGCGAACATATGGAGTTTATAGCTACTCCCGTGAGAGTTCCATCAATTGAAATATAATATCCATGCGGCGTTTCACATGTTTGAAGAATTCACCCTCATCTTATGATTCAATTAATCGAACAATTTGGATTCCAAAAAAAGAGAGATTATGTGCATGCAACCAAATTTTTAGTTGGAATATTACGGAATTAGGGATTATAATATGTAAGTTTTTATTCTTTAAGTTTTCGTATATATTCAAATGATGAATTTTTTCGGAGTATCCCCTATTGAAATCAAGATTCAAAAATGCTATAAATTTAATCTCGGACAAACCTTTGTTCGATATGCTCTAATTGCAAGTTTTGCGCTTGACCCATAATGACTTCGCCCTAAGATGCTCAATTAAATCTCGAAAGTTCGATTCTTAGGTACCATAAATTTAAAAAAATAAACTAGGATAGATTTTAAAATAGTTCGATCGATCGATTATCTACTAACCAAAAGAATTACCCAATCGATTAGGTCAATTAATTTTTGAATATCAAAAAATAATTAAAAATTTTCTCTTGTTTGTTTGTCACTAGTCACAAACATTTACAACTTTAGAGTGTCAATATATTTTTTTTTACTAAGAATTGAGTATTAGAAACTTTAAGAATATGATTTTATAATCGAATCTAATTGTTACCACTTACCCTTTATAAGAAAAATTCAAAAAAAATGAAAAACCTTTGAATCCTAAAATAATGACTTTATACTTAATATTATTATTATTTTTTTATTAAACATATGATCCGATCGATCGATCAACGTGTCGTAATCCGACTCTTTTTCTTTTTTATAACTCTGATCTAAACCCAATTACTTGAGTCTTCCATTAGGTTATTTGAATTGCATTCAAGCACAAAATGGACATATGAAATTGCTATATATATATATATATATATATATATATATATATATATATATATATATATATATATATATATATATATATATATATATATATATATATACTCCCATTAAAGAAGGGACGAAGACGCCATGAAGCATCAGATTCCGATCAACCACCACCGCAACGATCTTATCATGTCTTATCCATTTCGTAGCTTCTACATGTCGTCCTCTTCCCACTCACCACCAAACGCTGGGACTTGCGAGGCAGCAGACGATCGATACGGCGCCATTTGCTGTCATCGCCACCTCTCATCTCATTACTATCCAACTTCGATGTTTTTGTCCTTTCATTTCTTTTCCATCCAACGATTTGTTAGTATCACTTTACCCTATCAAATCTTACTTCTGTTCTCAAAGAATTCAATCTCTTTTATGTATGTTATCATAGGTTCTGAAATACACAGATCGTAATTCATTTCATGTAAGTAAATAACAACTCTTGAGGTATGTAACATTTTTCGATCGTAAGCTTAAAATATTATGTCTTTCAATCTCTATAATTATTCAAAACTAGTTTGAGCATCGGAGGATTCATGTCAGAAATAACCCGATATAACTTCGGGTGTCTACTGATCGTCACTTCAAACATTACTTGATAAGTGACTTGGTTTTTGAACGATGTTAGATCAAAGTAAGCGATCAAAACTCGGGTTAATGTTTTATTATCGATCGAGAAGGAATATTTCGTTATCTTAGTTGTTAAGAAATTATCGATGGCAAGTAAGAATGTAAATGTTAACCTTGGCTTGGAAGTAAAGAGATGGCTAATGGAGCAACGTGACTGACTGCACCAGTTGGAGTGGGAGTTGGAACTGCAAAACCCTAATTTGGAGTTGGAGTAGGCAGGAGGTTGCAGGCTTGGCAAGGAAACAGCAACCCAAGACACTATAAAGAGGGGTCCTCTTCTACCTTTCTGCCAGTGCTCTCTGAGGTGACACGCGAAGGGAAGTAGACCGTGTTCAATGCTTTGCTCTCATTTTTGTACAGTGAAAAGGGGGAGATGAGAAGAAGTAGAAGAAGAAGAAGATGATGATGATGATGATGATGGTGGTGGTTTATGGGGACCATGAGGAAGACCAAAAGAGATCACCTGCATGCCCGAGACTGTCATCAGGGCAGTGCATGAGCTGTGTGCTGATTGCAGAGGAGCAAACCTTTACATGCATGCTTTGCATCATCATAAGAGCTGGAAACCAGGATCTTGTTTGTCTACTTACACACATCTCAAACTGGTCCCTCCAACTCATTTCCACCCCCTCACTCCTTTCTTTCACTTGTTTTGCTTTGAAGCATTGACATGGAAGAGAGAGAGAGAGAGAGAGAGAGAGAGAGAGAGAGAGAGAGAGTCTTGCTTGCTTCCAACACACAACCACATCCAAGATTAGATAAAATGGTTTGGAAGCTATGTAGTCAGAAAGGGGGAGAGAGAGAGAGAGAGAGAGAGAGAGAGAGAGAGAGAGAGAGAGCATTTACAGTTTCAAACAAGATGTCCTACATATGCATCACACCTAACATAAAATGAAAACCCTGCAGTCAAGTCCATCTAATGACTCTCCCAAGTCTACCTAACACACAGGCATGCAATCTTCATCCCTAAATGCTCATGCAACAGAGACAGGACTGACCCCTTGGTCCTCCACTGAGGTTTCATTGATTCTTCACCTCCATTGTTGCCCCAGTAGTTAATGAGGAGCAGGAGAGGGATGATGTCCTTGCCGCCAAAAGACCTACCATCTTGTGAGGATTGCTCACCTCACATGTTCTCACCTCTCCATTAAAGCTCTCTGAAACCTGACCCCTCCATATGATGATGATTGGATCTCCACTAACACTACTAGTACAGAGCACAAAACAAGAATTCATTTCCTTGGGTTCTTTGGATTAGTTTAGTGAGAAGAAGGGCTGCTGACCTTTTTCTTTTGTCACTTTAGGTGGTGGTGAGTTTGGTGGTTAGGGTAGACAAGAAGCTTCATTCATTTCATCAAATGATGCTTTTGCATGAAACAAGGACAACTGACATGGTGGTGCCACTGCCAAGTTTTCTTCTTCCTTCTCTGGCAAAGCTGAACCTACAGCTTACATTTTTTTCCCTGAGTTTAATTGTATGCTCTATCCAAGCAAAGAGGAAAGTAAAAAGTTGGTGCCAAATTCCTCTTTGACCATATGGATGATTGACAACATAAAACAAGTCATAATATCCTTCTACTATTTTAGATAGAATAATATCTTTTCATATCATCAGTATTAATTTTCACTTCAATATTCTCAATTTGATTCCAACAGTGAAACTCCAACATGTTGCTTGGTCACTGCAAATCCTTAGTGTTACTGACAAGATCAACCATGTCAATGAAGGTCAACCAATGAAATGACTGGATATTTGATTGACCCACATTGAGATATATATATATATATATATAATTGAAATATATAATTGATTGGTCCTCACTGTTGTTGGATTAAGCTATCACATGGTGTTAGGGCCCCACAAGCTGTTCCAAGTTGATAAAGTTGCCAAATGAATTGATGGTCTTTGGAAGTACATGATTGTATTATCAATAAATGCTCAAAGATATTGGATCACTCTCATGTGGAGCTCTCATTTTGTTTGACTAAATTGTATTGATTAAGATTTTCTTTTTTTGAACTTAGACTATGACAACTTAATCCCATATATGGTTATGTTTAAATACAATGATAGCTTCAAATTATTGAGAAGAATTATTCTTTTTTCTTCGCTAAGAAAAATTATATACCTTTTGAAATATGTAAAAAAATATTTATAATAATTATTATTTTTTTAATATTTTGAATACTACAATAACAACAATGTCATGAACATGATTTAAAAATTATCTTAAAAATAATGTGTGATTTTCAACCAAAAAAAAGAGATACCTTTTAACTTATTAAAAATCGATCCACGTAGTCGATCACAAATAATTATAATTAAAAATTTAAATCCTAATTTAATATATCAAATAATTTATCATTGAAAAAATTATATATATATATATATATAATAATAATAATAATAATAATAATAATAATAATAATAATAATAATATCTGATTGCATGGCAAATATATGTGATACCAGCATACAAACAAGATGAATTGATAGGTGAGAGGTTGATGTCACCATATCAACCCAACAATCCATGAAGAGAAGCAGCACTACATTTGTATCTTTTCCCTCGCTCTTTAATAGCAGTCTTTTAATGTCCCAACAATAGCCAGCCAGCAAGAAACATTCTGCATTCTTCTCCCCTTTCTCCCTCCCTCCCCTTCTCCCACCACCTGCTATTTTATAGCCTACCTCTACCCACTCCATCATTCTCTCTTCCATGTAGTCTCTCCTCCTCCTCCTCCTCCTCCCCCACTTCTCTTCACTGAGATCTATCCCAGTTCTGGATTCTTGTGTGTGGTGGACATGGAGAGATCAGTTGGGTTCCAGTTGCTGCTTCTCCTTGCTGTCGAATGGGGAGTACTGCTCACAGCTGCTCACCCCTTCCCTCACCGTGAAAGTAGGCATTTTTCTTGATCTCCTTCTGGTTGGTAGCCTTAAAGTTGTTGTTTTGGGTGTGTGCTGATGGAGTTTGCTTGGTTCTTCCTAGTCTCGGCGCTCGTCGCCCTTAAGCGGGCTGCATTTGAAGACCCTTTCTCGGTTTTATCCGACTGGAATTCCCTTGACGCCAGCCCTTGCAACTGGACTGGTGTGATCTGCTCCGCGAATCAAGATTGTGTGGTTTCGCTGTAAGAAATGTCAGATTGATTTGATGCTCGCTTGTACTCGTCACGATTAGATCTTAGTCACATCCTTCTTGTCTGTTAGGCCCTTTAGGTGTTTGTCTAATTGCTTTGTGGGATCAATAGATCATCTTGCTTTGTTCTCCGAGATCTGGCGTGTGATCTTCTTTCATACGTGGATCTTCCTGTTGCAGAAACCTGTCGGGCTCGTCGCTGAAAGGATTTCTCGCTCCAGAACTGAGATATCTCGGTTGCCTGCAAGAACTGTATGTTCTCTTGATGGAGCATCTCGTACTGGTTGTTAGTGTTCTGTGCCGTTCTTTACAGAGTGGTTGCCATTGTGCAGGTACTTGAATAATAACTTGCTTTTGGGCACAATACCCATGGAAATTGGAATGATAAAGAACCTTACTGTGTTGGACTTGAGTGTGAATCGCCTCACCGGTCCTATGCCTCCTAAACTTGGAGACTTGACCAGCATCATGAAATTGTAGGAAGCGGTCGCTCTTTATACTAGTGGATATTTCTATTTGGTGGCTTATTTTACTAACATTGGCTTCAAATTTTCCCTTTATTTTTCTTTTAGAGATCTCCATTCCAATGGGTTGACTGGCGATATACCACCTGAACTTGGTAAACTGGAGAATCTTGTGGAGTTACGACTAGACAGAAATAGACTCGAGGGACAAATTCCCGGATCCACTAATTCAAATTTCTCTGCTACCTTGCATGGCATGTAAGTGATGTTTTGTTATGTACCTCTGCTATGCTATATTTTGACTGGTGAATTTTCTTTGTTCTAGGGAAGCAATAAAACCATGTCACCGACCCCATGTATCTCCCATCATGCAAGAATTTTCTTTTCTTCCCCTTTTATGTCAAATTATATTCTTTTGAGGTGATTGTTTACAAGTACAAGATCACCAAAAATGCCAAGTTTATTTTTCACATCATGGACAGTCAGAACTGGAAAGTAAACAAAGATTAGTATTAACCCATGGAGTCATGGAAGATGCAATGTAATTGGAATATTTTTCTTCATTTCTGATATGACACTTAAATAACAAGCTTATTAACTGGCAAATATTTACCATGAGGAACTGGGTTAAGCACAAAACCTGCCTTATCAACCAGAGCTTGGTGGTTCGTCTGTAATTAGTATCATTATTTTCACGTATGAAAGCAGAGCAATGTGTCATAATGTTAGAGATCGATTGCAAGAAATTGTTGAATGTCATAATGGTGGTATCTTTATCTTATTCAAATCAAATAAGATAAAGATGGCATCAGTATTGGAAGAAAATGCTTCATGTCAGAATTCATTCCCATCAATATGTGAATCTCTGTCAGTCAAGGTTTTCAAATCAACTCACATTCGAGCTGATTTTTTTAGCCATGGTTCTCTTATTTGTTCTAACTTCGAAACAAAAGGTATACTGGTCTTCCTTGGTCATGGCAAAAATAGAACTTGGATAAAAAATTTCTCCATTGTATAATATCTCCATGCTTACAGAATAGTATAATTTCTTGGATGGAACAATCTTCCCACAATTTGCACTCTGGTTGAAGTTTGGAAAGCAAAGCTGAGAAATCACATGTTCATGATCTCTCAAATAGTCACGTGTTCATGATCGCTGAAATCACATCTACGTAGCAGATATCCCAAATTACCAAACAACTACCATGATGAGCCTTGAGTAAAAAATATAAAAATAATGTCTCCAACTACTCCTGCAATCACTTAATAACCGTTCTTAATCACAGAGTTGCTTTTCAGGTTGTTTCTCTCATACACCATTGTATGAGAAGAACGCAAAGTATGGAACTCTTATCTTAGAAACACTTGGACATCCATTTGCACATATTCATGACCACATGCAATAAAGCCTATAGGCAGACGTAGGGATATTTGTGTTCACATTAGCATAGGGGCACATTGATATAGATTTGTTGCTCTTAGATGGTTTTGATATTTACTTAAATATTATTTAGGTACACATCTGACAAGAGACGAACTGGACTTTGCCAATCAACCAAACTAAGGATTGGCGATTTTTCCTTCAATTTTTTAGTTGGACAAATACCATCATGCTTGAAGTATCTTCCAAGGTAAACCAATTTCTTTTAATTCTTCTTTCATCTTATGTTGACTAAATTTCGTAAGTTTTCTTTGATCCTATCTGCAGGTCAAACTTCCAAGGAAACTGTTTTGGGGATAAATACTCAGTTTTGCAGCGTAGTCCTCAATTATGTAATGAACTTCCCCCTCTCTATTTTTCTCTCAATCATTTTTGTAAAAGTAATTATAATAAAGAGAAATGAACTTCTAAAACTTATTTTTGCATTTCAGACAGGCAGTCTGAGGAAACCTTTAAGTTGTCAAAGTAATCTTGCATATATAAAATATGCTTGAAAGACTTGTAGCAGTTGACATGTACATATGTCTAGACCAAGTATACAAACAGTTCTCGTATTTCATGTTTAGAGCTGTATGTCTGTCAGTGTCCTCTGGCACTGATGGATTCTTAAAGGAAATTTAGATGACTGTTGTAAATACGACCAAATTATGTTCATCCACTTTCTGTATCTCAATTCTTGAGCAGTACTTTTGGGTGACTTTGACTCTTCAAAAGACAGCAGACGGTTATTGAATGTAGACCAGCTGATTACCAGATTTTACTGATTCTAGTTAGTGGTTGGATAATAATGTTGAAACTGTCAGTCAAATATTTTTAACAATCTGTATAGTGTATATGAGACCATATGTGGTTCAGATTTGACTACTTATAATACTTAAATGACTGGACATTATCATCTTTATGGCATCACATAAGATTAAGGGGAACTTCTTTAGTTGTGTACATTAATAAATTCCTCTGTCATGGTGAAGGTGAAGCTAAATGACATGAACATCACCATGGTCCTCATTTGATTTGCATTTAAGATGCAAGTATTTCTTCCTATAGAGACTCATTTAAGATCCACAGCAATGCATTTATGTCATTAGGAACCTGAAGTTATCAGCTTTTCATGCTTTACTGTTTGCATATGTTTCTATTCCTTGCAGTTTATTGGATGCAGCAAAGATAGTTGGAATGCTGCTACCTGCTCTAGAAGTAACATTTTGAAAATTGTTAGGAACAATTTTTTGAAAACCTATTTAACATTTAGAAGCTCATTAGTTGCTCTCAATGCCATCCTTGATTAATGCTAGTTTTATTTATCTTAATGTAGGTGGCTCAGACAAATACCAAGGATTAGCCAAGGAGACTGATAAACAATCTACTGAAGGGCAAAAACACCAGGGTCCACAACAGCCAGAATGGCTTCTGATTCTTGAGGTCACTACAGGAGTTATTGTGGTCGTCTGCATTATAACAGGAATTGCTACCGCTGTTAGGTCTTGTAAGCTAAAATCATTTGTGAGAATCCCCTGGAAGAAAACTAGGAATTGGAATGATGAGACACCAATATTGATAGGTTAGCCCTACCCTTGTTTTGTATTCAAAGTATTTTCCGGTCTAGCATAGCTTTCAGCACCAAACCTGACAGATCTTATTAATTGTTCCAAACCAGATGGAGAATTGTTGAAAAATGTCCCAGGATTTAGCCGAGAAGAACTTGAAATAGCTTGTGAGGACTTCAGCAATATAATTGGATCTTCTCCGGATAGTATAGTCTATAAAGGAACAATGAAGGATGGGACAGAAGTTGCCGTCATCTCCCTCTGCATCTTAGAAGACCAATGGACAAGCTGTCTTGAGTTCTCCTTTCACAATAAAGTAATTAGTTTGTGAAAATTATTTTAATATGCAGGAAAGTCTTCAGTAGAACATCAATGAAACTTTTAGCTTTTCAGGTGGCAGATCTGGCTAGGTTGAACCATGAGAATATAGCAAAATTGCTAGGTTATTGTAAAGAAAGTGAAACTTTCTCAAGGATGCTGGTGCTTGATTATGCATCTAATGGGACATTATATGAGCATCTGCATTGTAAGTCAGACAACAGACATTTCTACTTACGTGCATCAGAATGTGAAAGCTTCTGATATATTTTATGGCTTACTTTTCAAATTTAGATGGTGATGGATCCCAGTTATCTTGGCTTAGACGCATGAAAGTAATACTAGGTGTTGCTCGTGGGTTGCGGTACTTGCACACGGAATTGCAACCACCATTTGTGTGCTGTGAACTGAGTTCAAATGCAGTATACCTTACTGAAGATTTTTCTCCAAAGGTATGAATATTTATTCTGATATTATCAGTCTGTGACATTTTTCCATATGAGAAATTTGCATTAGCAATTTGCTTGCATAAATTCACTAATGCTTTTGTTTTCAGAAATGTATAAATTTAATAGTTTCTAGAGCTTAAAAGCTACTTGCATCATATTTTTATTGTATAAAAGGCTTTTTTACAATTATTTACAGTCATATGTTGCAAGAAAGTTCGAGAGGCATGTTAGAGGCACATAAAGTTTATCACTTGTAGCTTTCAGCAGATTCTTAAGAACAAGATCCCAGTCTATTTTCTCTTTGCTTTCCTCCCCTGGCTTACAAGTTTAGGGAGAATAAAACTTAATAAATCTACCCAGGATCTTAAATGTGTCCTTTTTTTATTTTTTCATGTTTTTCTGTAATCACTCCACTGATGTGAACATTGCTATCATCTCTCAAGTCAAAGGATAATTCTTGGTTTCATAAGCTTGAAGTACAACCAATGAGGTAGACTATCTACCTGCCGTTAGCCTTTGGACTGCAACATTAAATAGTTGGGATGTTTGGCTTTTAGGTACTTGGACAAGTCATACTTTTTTCTCAAATTTGTCTTGGCTAGTAATTTAATGTCAGCTGAAGCAGACTTATATCAGTAGTTACAAATAGATTTTTCTGAGGGATGTATAAGCAGTGGAAATTTGTTGATCTTTCAATAATTTTTCTTTGATTTAAGTTGCACTGTCTGGCTGACCCCATGTTTATGTAAAATGCCTGGATGGTTATGACTAGCATCCCGTACCAAGTCATCTTGAAAGAGATTGTATTTAGTAACATAGTACTTCAAAAACATACTAAAGATAGTAAAATCTTAGGAAAAATTGATACTCTTAGTTTAATTTCGTAATCTAACCATTGTCCATCTTGTTGTTAGCCACAAGATCATTACTCATAAATCTCTTCCAGGGCCCATGAATCCCCTAAGTATCCCAAAAAGCATCTATCTTCAAGGAAGTATTTGACACATCTCCAAAGTATCTTACAAGTAGTGCATTGGATATATATTAGTGTTTCATACGTGAATATCTATGTTTATTCTCTTGTAAATGTACGATGAAGAATCCAATAAAGAAATTGGAATGTTGCACCAAATGTGGTTGGTACTCTGCCTGCTGGTCACTTAATCCATATCTCCAAGATCATTACGAACTCCATACTACGTAAAGAATTGTCCAATATGCTTAACTACACAAGGACATAGCCTACATGTGACATCACTATGTAAATACTTGGATTACAATATACACTTTGAAAGTTTGGATGACTTAAAAACAGTAACAGATTTGAATTTTGTACTTGTTTTCTAGTTTGCTCTTCTCTTAATCCTTTCATTAATCTGCTCACAGTGCTTCCAGCCCTTTCTAGTTAAGTGTTCAGTTCCATAATCATGAATAAGAGTCTGGCATTTGACTTTTCCCATCTGATTTACTTTCTATCTGCTTATTGTGTCTGAGCAGGTTTTTATCTGGTCCATGCGTTGGTCAAATAGTTTTGTCAATGACTGACATTTGTAGTATCTGAATTCTTGTTCTTCCTGCTGCTGTTGACTTCTGTTCTATTTTGTAATTTTCTTTTAGCATTATAATCAAGAGAAAACCTAACTACAGTTTACTGTTGCAGTTGGTTGATTTTGAGAGCTGGAAAATGATATTCTCAAAGTCTAAGAAGAATGACGGTTATATTACTGATGGGCTCTCGCTTCCTGGATACATTGATTCTCAAGAGCAACAAGACATGATAATACAAGAAAACATATTTGCTTTTGGAGTACTTTTACTGGAAATAATCAGTGGAAGGCCTCCATATTGCAAAGAAAGAGGGTGTTTGGTAAATTGGGTAAGGCTTACATTTGGTAATTTTAGTCCTGGAGCATCAGTTTTTTAGATCGTTGAAGCTACATTCAGATCATAAAATCCAATCTGGCTGGTTAACATGTATTGCTCTTATGCTCTACATACAATGCAAAGCTGCATTTGCAACATAACTTTTTCCCTTTAATGTAGATTAGCAACTTAAGTTATTGATGAACCTTGGATCTTGATCAATTATTGCTGCATTCAGTTCCCTTCCATACGCAGCAACTGAGAGAACCAGAACCTCGTTGCATTCCTTTCAACCGTCATGTTTTGTCTAGCATCGAAGCTTCATTAGGTTGATAATAATTCCAATGTGCCAATAGTTCATTATCTTGCATAGAACTTATTCAATGATACCCGAAACAAAAGCAGGAGGTGCCTCGGACAAGAAATTCTGGCACTTCCGAGACTAGCATCTTCCTTTTCTCTAAATAAATTGCATCGCCATTTACTGCAGATGATTCAAATGCATTCAGTTGAAGGGAATACATATCATTAGATGTTTGCTATAACATCTGCTCTTTGTTCTTCTACATTATCTAGTAGCCAATACACTTGATACAATTGTTTCCTATATATTGCAGGCCACAGAGTATCTTCAACACTCAGAAGAGATAGGAAAACTAGCAGATCCTGAACTGAAAAATGTGAAGTCAGAAGACCTTGGAGTTATATGCAGTGTGATTAGCCTCTGCATCGAACCTGATCCTACGAAGAGACCATCGATGCAAATAATATGTGCTGTGTTGGAGAATGGGATCGACTTGTCAGCAGCTGCCCTTCTCAAGGAATCTCCTTTGGCATGGGCAGAGCTAGCCTTGTCTTCATAGGTATCCTCCTTCCACCATGTAAATCGATAGCATACACAGGAAATACCTGATTTCAGCTTGACTTGATCATTTGTTTTTCCCCTTGGATGTAAAATTGTGCCTAGAGGTGAATGCAAGGCACAGAAAGATTGTATTGTATACACTTCATTGTTTGGCAACCATTGAGATGATAAATATATGAAAGTGAGTTAACTATTGTTTGGCATCATTTTTCGTCTATTTTCTCCACTTGAGATGTAATGTTCTCGTTCTGCGATATGATGATACAGTCAATGAGTTGTTTAACTTTCTTCTGGAGAATTGGGACAAATCTTTCAGTTTGAAGAGGAATTTTTTAGGCTTTGTTTTAAAAAATTCATCTAACTAGGCTGCCTGCAAAGATTAGCTATCAGACTAGAAGATTATGACTGAAATCAGGCGAAGAGATATTGACTTTTCTTTAGATTGTGCTAACTTGAAAGATTTTTTTATTTTCTTGATTTGATAGAATTAAAGACGATTGTTCAATAGAACTTGAGCTAGTAATGACAGAGCAGGGTGACCAATAGACGAGATTTGTTGTCTTACAATTCCTTTTGAATACCTGTTCTAAGATCCTCATATTTGAAGAGCTTGAGTGAGCATCCTTTCGCATTTGATAGCGCTAAATGCATCTCAAAACATTTTTTTGTGTATGATATATTTATCCAGAATTTAAAAAATATTCAAAGCATTCGATATTGTCATAGAGGTCCAAATTATCTTTTTTTTATGTATAATTATTATTCTCTTGTATTAAGAATCATGCATCCTATAGCGTCTTTTTATGTAAAAAAATATCCAAATATTTTTTTGTTTGTTATTTATTCAAATAGGAAATAAAGTATCTGCGTGATTTGTTCACGTCGCATCCCAAAGTGTTCTTCTTATGATATATTTGTTAAAAATAAAATATATATATATATATATTTAAAATATCCAATTTGGTTACTTATGCCCATCCGTTAGGATAAAAACTGATTTAAAATATTTAAAATGTTAGACGCTCAAAGTATCATATTTTGCATGTGATATTTATGTTCAAGGTATAAAATGCATTCAGGTCGCAAAGTGTCCTCTTTGTGCGTGATTACAACCGTCGAAAAAATATTCAAAATATTCGATAAAGTCTCTCGAGCCCAAATCATTCATTCTCGAGTATAATGCAGTCACTCAAAATATAAAAAATATTCAAAATATTAGATGTATCCCAAACACTGCCTATATCCAAGACATACTTTCATGCATCATTATATCCACCTAAGATACAAATGCATTTAAAACATTATATGAATCTTAAAACATATGTCCATACCCAAAGCTTCTTATATCCATCCATCTAGAACATAAAAGCATATGAAACATCTTGTATAGTCACCTAAGTTCAAAGCATGCTTAGGATACAAAAGTGTTCAATGCATCAAACAAATCCAAAAATAAAAATGTGATACATCTATCTGTAGGAAGAAAAATACATTATACAAATATTTGAGATTGCTATTTTGAAAAGAGTTATTCTCTTTATTTTCTTTATATATTTCAAATATCAACATTTTACATCTTCTTAAATAGATCTCAAAGGGTCAAATTTGCGGCTAAGCTTTTAGAATTTCAAATTAAATTTTATAGTCACGTATTTTAACATGTTTTTTCTTTTCCATGAATGTCCCAAAAAGATGATTATGATGGGAAGAAAAAGGAAGGTTATGACTTTTGCTCTTAGGAATAGGACAGGAGAAGTCCAATATTATGTTGACCTCCCTGATGAGGCCACGTCAACGATGAGGTGTGGGTCCTCTATGAATTCGAACAATTGAGCTTCAACGTAATCTTTTGTTCATATTGACACATACGGGTTTTGTCTATAAAAGGGGATTTCAAGTAATTCATTAATTTTATTTTCTCCTTTATTTCTCCATGCTTATTATCTTTAATTACTTTTTGATATTATTATCATCTGACTTAAACATTCATGTTAGATAAATTCATCTTATCTTTCTTTTTTTATAGAATTTAAAATCATGTGATTATTGCTTGCATTACTCTAATTTTGACACTAAACTCGGCCATATGCCGTTACTTCGTTTTTAATTTCATTTTGTAGTTTTGATCACATATCATCAACCTAACAAAAGAAAAAAAAAAAGCATATGTTGATGCTAATTTTCTATTTTTTTCTCTTAGGATTTATAAGCAAGGTTCGCTATACCGTACCGTACCGGCGTTTTCAACCCAGGCTCGGTACGGTACGGTATCGGTGTACCGGACAGTACATCAGGACGTACCAAGCGATACACCCTAGTGTACCGAATAATTTTTTATTTTTTTTCATACTGTAGCAGCGCTATAATATAGTACTGTAGCACTGTAGCGGTACCGGGCGATCCGCGTACCGGTAACCTGTTTATAAGTATCCTAAAAAAATTAAAATTATATTCAAACTATTTAGAGGAATCTTAATTATATTCTAACTTATTGGCGGATTTAAGATTTAGGTTAGGGATCCAAATAGGATGATTTGTCGATGATGAATTAGGATTTAAACCTATAAAAATATCCGAGTCTCAAAGTTTTAGTGATAGATAGAGATATAAACGACTCTTATATATTCTCTAATAATTAAGAAAATATTTTTTTAATAATACTATTTGAAGATTTTTTAAAAAATTAATCTTGTAATATTCTAAAAAAAAATCTTCGATTTCTTTAGAAAACATATAATTGAAAAAAAAAATCTAATGCGCATTTCGGAAATTTATATTATAAGCTCTGTTTTATATATTTTGTAATTATTATAATTACTGACCTATAGACTTCTTTTAGTTCACTCAACAAGAGAAGGTAACCATATGTGAATCACACACTTAGGTTTACACGGACATGAACTCCTCCATCATGGAAATGGGTGAAGGATGAGATGAACGCCATGGGAAGGCCTCAGCGTCAGCATGATCTTGGGCGAGTGGGCGTAGGCTGGCGAGAGAGACCAGGAGAAGCTGCGGAGGATGAGGCTGAGCACGATCTTGAACTCCATGGCGGTGAGGTTTCTCCCCACGCAGATCCGCTCCCCGAGGCCGAAGGGCAGGAAGCCCATCCGGTGCCTGCACCCGCCGTGGAGATCCTCCCTGAAGCGCTCCGGGTTGAACTCGTTCACGTCGTCGCCCCAGAGAGCCGGGTCGTGGTGCATACCCACGAGGTCGATCCACATGTTGGTGCCCTTGGGGATGACCATGGTGTCCCCTACTTTGATGTCGTCTTTCGCCTGTCTTTGGGCGTTGGGAGACGGCGGGTACAGTCGCAGCACCTCGTTCCACACCCACCCCATCTGCAATTGCACCATCAAGATTTAGCTGGGTTGATCCGAAGAAGAAGATGTTGATGATGACGAATTTGAAGAAGAAGAAGATGATGAGTAGAATCTCAAAAGGAAGAATCTGAAGTGAAGAAGAAGACGAGGAAGAAGAATCTTGTGAACGGGGATTGCTTCTGTGCCTTCGAAAAGGTCATTATTATTCTTACCTTGGTCAGTTTTGAGAGCATGGTGGAGTCGAGAGGCCTTCCTCCGGAGACTTGCACGACTTCCTCCCTGAGAGCTGATTGCCATTCGGGGTGCAGAGCCAGCAAGAACAAGGCCCACGAGAGCGCAATCGCAGTGGTCTCATGGCCGCCGAAGAAGAACGTCTTGCACTCGTCCACAAGCTCTCGAGCCGTCAGCTTCCTCCCCCCACCCTGCGCGTTCTCCCGGTTCCCCGCGAGGAGGAGCCCCAGGAGGTCCTGCTTCGGCGTCGTCTTGCCATCGCCCTCCTCCTCTTTCCTCGAGCTGATGACGGCGTAGAGAAGCTGGTCGATCTCCTTCCCAAGCTTCCATGCCCCGTACGATCTCTTAGCGAACATCAGGTTGCCGAAAGGGACACCCACCGGCCGGTTCGTCTGGAACAGCATCTTCTGCATGAGCTGCAGCTTCCCGAACACCTTCTCGCCATTCCCCTCGCCGATGCCGAAGCTGGTCTTGGCTATGATTTCTGCCGCATTCTTGGTCACATCCTTCTCCACATCTATCTCACGTTGGCCGCGGGCGAGCCGCTCGCTCCACTCCGTCAGCATCTTCTTGGTCGTCTCTTCCATCACACTCACCATGGCCTGCATGTCATACATTTCTTGAGCTCAGTAAGGAACAAGGATTCCAACAAGGCCTAGAAGCTCACCTTCAGATTTGTCATGGAGAATGCTGGTGTAATTATATGCCTGTGGTGAGTCCATTCATCGCCATCAACCATCACCAGTCCTTTCCCAAACATTGGCTTCCTATCGTGCTTGAACACATCTGGCTTCCCCCACTTCTTGTCCATGGCGCCGGAAGTCACCCTCTTGAGGAACTCAGGATCAGCAACGTACAAGAACGGCTCTGTTCCAAGCCAGTAAACGAAGACCTTCCCTGCATGCATACCATTAAACACATAGGTTACAGGAGAATTCTCCACTCGGAAAACCATCAACCATGCATGCATGCATGCCATGATGACGCACTTACCGTAAGCTTCTCTCCATCGGGAGAAGTAAGGGAGTACGCGAGAGTGGATATCATGTGCGATGCTCGACGAGCCTGGAGATGATGTCTCTCCTCCCTTCTTGCTCATCTCCACCAGGTTCCCCAAGGGGAAGAGTGGAGGAGGGCCAGCAAGGCCGCTCTTCCTGAGCCGGCGCCACTTGACGGCCGGCAAGAGCCAGAAGATGCAGACGGCTCCGGAAAGCAAGAATAGGAGCAGAACTCCCATAGCCAAGCCCAAGCATTGCATGGACACAAGGATCTCCATGATCAGTGATCTATCTACGAGTCCTTGCTTCTTTATATGGTAAACCTCCTATCTCAATCTACGATGGTGTTTCTCTGTGAAGAACAAGGGAGACGGTGTTCCCTTTTATAGTGGAGGGAGGGTGCTCTCTCTCTCTCTCTCTCTCTCTCTCTCTCTCTCTCTCTCCCCCGTCGTAAAATATCATTGAAAGAGGTTGAATCAAAACGTGCTATTATAGCTCTCTCTCTCTCTCTCTCTCTCTCTCTCTCTCTCTTGTGCTGCATAATGATGCGTTAAAGCTTTGTTTTCTCGATTATTTCTTTCTTTCGTGGCAGGTTAGGGGAAGATAAGAGTTGTTGATCTCATTTGTACGACGACCAACGTTTTCAAGTGCTCTAATT